TCACAGAATTTTCTAATTTTATTCTGTTGTTTGGTATCATTTACCATAAGAAAGAACCTGATTGACAAAGTTCTTTTTGTTTGATATTTATAGAAATCTGTGGTGCAACTATATAAGACATTTGATATTATTAATGTGACTTAAATAGGAATAGAATGTCTATTAAAAAGAATTATTCCAATAGTGGTCCTAAATATCAGCCACAATCAATGAGAACTGTATTGATTATCAGGTATGTCCAACTATAGAATCCAGATCCAAAGAGAAAAATGAATAGAAAAGCCCTCAAAAATAATGCAATTAAAATGGGATTGCAGAATGTGTTTTAAAATATGCTCATAAAATGTGTTCATTTAAAATTGAAACAAAAAATTGTATGTAGATACAGTTTTATAAAGTATAATTCAGAAACATCCTGCATCTGAGTCGTCACTCCTGTCACTTAACATCCCCCTGCCTAGTGTAACCCTGGCTGCAGGAAACACTCGAGATTCTGAATTAGAGTGGGACTTAAGTATCCATATATAAAACAAAACAAGCCAACAAAACTTTCAATAAGCATTTCTAACATGCAATCAGTGTTAAAAATCACACTGAGTGTATACATTCTTGGGTAGCAGCGACTTGCCCAACTTTGCATCTTCTCGTCTTCATATCCTCAACACTGTACAAAGTCTCCTTCACAATATTTCTGAAGAGCAATTTTTAATTTTCTCATCTGGGTTTGTCCCGTCTACCTCACTCCTGCCTTGGGAACCCTCCTTTGTCCCCCGCACTTTGGGGACTGCACTGCTAGTCAGGATGTTAAACTTCAGAACCCTGAGGGTAATTGTTTCTCCCCCAACTTTTTTTTTAAAATATAACTGGTGAATCATAAAGTCTTCTCCTTTTTTTCTTCTAAATATTTCAAAGATCAGTTCACTTTTCTCTGTCTACCTTCCTACCAGTCAACAAAAGTTTCACACCTCGATGGTAGGCTCCTAAGTGGTCTCCTTATCTGTAGGTGTTCTTCTATCAACAACACACTTTCCCAGAGTGGTTGTCCGAAGATGTAAATATGATGATACTGTTCTCTGCCTAAAACTCTTCAGTGGCTTTCACTTACTTAAATACCCAATGTGATTCAGAGAGAGTTTCAGGCCCTGGTTCTTCATCTCTCCAGCGGCATCTTCCACTTCATCTTCAGTCACCCACCCCTCCAGCCAGACTTAACTGTCACATTGAGCTACTTCCAGTTCCCTGGATGCATCTCTTTTCATACACTCTTCTCTATTTCTTACAGTATTGCGTCCTCCTTCCTTCAGCTTAAGATCATGGCAGCCTTCTCTGACCAGCCTAGTCTTGCTAGGTTACTTTTCTGTAAGCTCCTATAATATTTATTTCCTACATTATAGCACTCATCTCACTATTGTAAATGTTTATTATATTTTCAGTACTCTCAGCCAGTAGTCCCTCAAGGAAAGGAATTATTTTTATCTTGTATAAAGGGTCCACATCTAACACTTCAGTTGAATAAAGAATAAATGCATGTTTCATGGAGTACACATGGATACAAAGAAGAGAATAACAGACAGTGGGCTCTACTTGATGGTGGAGGGTAACAGGAGGAAAAGGATTGAAAAACTACCTATCAGGTATGTGTTTGTTACCTGGGTAATGAAACAATCTGTAAAACAAACCCCTGTGACATGCAACTTACTTATACAACAAACCTGCGCATATACCCCTGAACCTAAAAGTTAAAAAATAAAAATAAAAAAAATTAAATTACACATTAATGGTTACAGTGATATAGTTTGAAGATTTGTCCCCTCCAAATGTCATGTTGATTTGTAGTCCCCAGTGTCCGAGATCAGGTCTGCTGGGAGGTGTTTGAGTCATGGGGCCCGATCCTTCATGAATGGTTTGGTACCCTCCTCATGGTAATAAGCGAATTTTTGCTCTATTAGTTCATGCGAGAGCTGGTGGTTTAAAAGAGCCTAGCATCTCTCTGTCTTGCTTTCTCTTGCCATGTGACATGCCTGCTCACCCTCTGCCTTCTGCCATGATTGAGCAGATGCAGATGCTGGTGCTATGCTTATTGTACAGTATGCAGAACCATGAGCCAAAATAAACATCTTTTCTTTATAAAAGACCCAGACTCAGGTATTCCTTTATACAACACAAAAAGACTGATACATGTAGATAATTAGGATCTTTAGTGCTTCAGCCCAAAATGAAGATTGTACTAGGAAGATGACTGTCATGATAACAATTCATAATAATGTATGGCATTGATGAGTGATAACAGTGCTGGGCTCTATGCTAGGTTATTTACATTAATTTTATCACTTAATCATGGCAATCCTTCAATGTAGTTACTGTTATTTTTATTTTAGAGATGAGGAAACTGAGACTTTTAGATGTTATGTAACTTGTCCATGGTCCCATAGCTAGTAAGTGGTTAAGTCAGGTTTTAAATCAAAGCAAGGAATTCCAGTGACCACGTGGCTACACTGCCTTCACAATGTGGACTAGGGTAGTATTATAGTTCCTGGATTAAGAAATTTTACAGGTCATTATAATTATAAAATATAAAAGAAGGGAGGGTAACAGAGGTAATGACAACCAACATGAGTTTGCTCTTTATTTTGCTGTTTATAATAGTTATAATCAATGATGTCATACTTTCACAAAACATCATTTTTCCTTAAACAATTAGGGGAAATAAGAATATCTGGAAAAGGGAATTCCTCCTAATACAGAAAATTGCCAACATGGCTTGCATTTTACTCCAACCTATACATACATTGTCCTTGTATCAATATGTTGGATAGCTGGTGTCTGGAATCATTGTCTCTAGGGAAGTTACTAACAGTCAGCCAACTCGGGTTCCTAGTCCAGTTTTGACAAAAGGAACTGGTGGCCTTGGACACGATTTAACTCCTCTGGGCTGCTTCATGTGAAAAGAGAGCACTTAGAACTGCATAAGCTCTCTGTCTTAGAATCCATTAGCTATTTTGTTAAACCTTGAGCATTTTTTTTTTCATGGAAACTTCATGCTACAGTATAAGAAATGTTTTAAATCATTCATCCTTACCATATAAAGTTCATGATGAACTTATTTTTTAGATGAAAAAAAAAGTTTCAAATGACCCAAAACTATTACATAATAAATCATTTGGGGGAAAATTCTACACATCTAAGAAAAGCCAAACTTTGACAAAATTTCATGAGTATACATTTTTAACATATTAATAACTAAAGTATACAGTCTGATATTTGGGTCCAGGGTTTTATTTTATGCAAAAACTTCCTGAACTTTCACAATAAATGCATTAAGCATTTATTAAATGTGGCACATTTGACAACTGGCATATGCTGAGTTTGTTCATTTTTTCTTATCGTCATAGCTATGAACCTACTTTAATGTGACATACTTACTAAATTGGGCAAGTTATATTCTTTTCCAATTATGGTAGTGATATTAAATTTTCTTCTCAAATACATTTTTAAACAGTTCATTTATTAAATATAAAACAGCATTGTTGAGTTGTATAGCAATTTATAAGAAAGTATATAGGTGCTCTGGTGGGTAACTCCACTTTGAGATACAAAACATTTAGGAATTTAGAAATGTCCAAGAACTTGAATTTATTAGGACTTCATACCAGTAATTAAAAATTTTCAGCAGTAGTGAAAACTGGTGGTCAGAGGTAATGTGTCTTACAGATCTAAAATTCTAAGGCCAACTTGAGTATAATGCAAAGAGAAAAGACTACCAATACATGTCTGTGGATGTACAAATGAATAATTCTAGTTTTATAAATCTAGGAAGTAATAGGGTTAATGGGCGGGGGTGGATGTTTGATTGTTCAGTTTGTTTTAGGTAGAGGTGTTCCAAATGACTTTAGACCAGAGGGAAAGAAGCCTGTTGAGAAGGGGGATGGAATATCCTTGAGAAAGAAGAACCGATGAAGCAAGGTCCCAAGAGAAGAGGCAGGAGTGGGATCAAAATGTTTGATAGAGGAAATGAAGGTCTCTGGGGAATGAGAAAATTAAAGAGAAATTGGTATAGAATGAATCCAGATGTTCAAAAAGCAAACGAAATCTACCTTACACTTTTGTGTAGGTTTTTTTTCCTGTAAAAATGTCTTTATCAGACATGGGGGTCAGATTTTCCAATAATCACCATCATGGGTACCCACATACTACAGTCCACCCATACGTAGGTATTTTTCAGATTCTCCAGATACAAAAAAGACGAGTAGGCCTATGTTCTACTAGATTCCATACAATATCAGGCTTATCACTTTATCAGGTAAGCATAGAAAGGCAGGTCATAAGCTGGCATAAGTGTAAAAGGAAACTAATAGGGTTTTTAGGGAAAATTCTTTATACTTCATTGCCTCAGCTGCTGTTCAAATGTTAGATGCATAGAAGATAAGCACATTTCAGATACTCTAACTTGTTTCTTTTAACCTACTTTCCTGAGGTCTTTAAAGAAACATGGCAACATTTTTGCCTAGGGAACTTTTTTTTGTAAAAGAAGTCCAAAGTCTGATTAAGTACATTCCTAAATGCCTTGATGGAGAAGGCAAGTTAGAAGGTTAGACTTAAGTAAAGGTGTTGTGAGTGAATTGACAGTCGTCCCTCTGTGTATGTCGGGGAGTGGTTTCAGGATGCCCACATGTATCAAAAGTCTGGAAACTGGTCCCGCAGAATCTGGGTATAGAGAAAGTAGGCCCCTGGCATATGTGGGTTTTCCATTTTGTAAATACTGTATTTTCAATCTGCATTTGGTTGAAAAAAATCCATATAAGTAGATCCATGCAGTTCAAACATATATTGTTCAAGGATTCACTGTATTTGTGTGAGTTGCGGTTGTAATTGTAAAAGCACTATTTAAGCCCAACTTTTATTTCCACAATCCAGAATTCTCTCTTAAAATATATCTATGACAGAGCCATCTGTCTCTTCCAACTGGATCTTTAAAAAAGCAGAAAACCGAAACCACGTGGTGACTTTAAATGATAAACTTTTATTCTGAATATACTGTTTTTGCACAAGATTTAACACAACATTTTCTGGGATTATAAATATTTTATAACAGTATTATACAAATTTTTACAAAATGTTTTTATCAGGCTAGATAATTTTCACAAAAGTGTCAAGAGAACAAAATAAAGGGGAGAAAAAATCTATTGTTCACAAAAGCCAGTTGGCCTTTTGCATGAATGCACACCATTTTAATAAAAGTATTCCTAAAAGCATGATCTGACACTCACACAACACAACAAAAAGACAGCTTGACTAGGTCACATTATAAACTGAATTGGCATCTACACAAGACAGTATCCCATTAGTTTCAGTGGAATTTCTTTGAGATAACTGTGTGAACTAGAAATAAGGTAGATGAAACTATTGGTAAGGGTTGTTTAATTCTTTAAAAATCTGGAATTTTTTCAACACTCGATATATTGTATTGGTTTGCTCTTCACAGAAATATACTGTGAATATTAACATTCTGCTATGGGAAACAATACAAGTTTAGATGAAAAAATATTTAAAATTTTGGGCAAGTGAAATAGTCATTCCATTCTATTATTTTAAAAAAGTCACAACATCCATTTTGTTTCACTAGGTCAGACTATACCATTAAACATTTTAACGTCTAACATGATCAATGGAATAGATCCAGAGTTTTAAATTAAGACAAAATTTAAGCTTTGTTGGTCACAGACAAAGATTTAAATGAGATTTAAAATACAAGAGAGCATCAAATAAGCAAGTAACACTTGGGTTGCAAAGGTCACTTAAAAGGGATACTGCCTATTTGAACCCCATAAGGCCAGTTTTAAAGTTAATAAAAGGAATATTATAGGAAAACTTACAAATGGCAGCAACACTGTTTTATTTTTCCCCAAGTTAAGCAGTAATGCCTCAGGCATTAGAAACATGAAAAAAGATCATACTAAAATCTTATAGGCCCAGGACCTAAAAATCTCTTCAATCAAACTTGCTAACTATGTCATGTTAAAAACCTGTTACAAATATGGACCACGGTTGGTGTTTGGCAGTAATGCTGGTTGTTTAAATGAGGAAAATATAAAGAAATCATTAATGCAAAATTCTTTCTTGTTACTCAACACCATCGCCAAGCTTACTTGAATTCTGTTTTAGTGACTAACTACATTAAGCCACATGAGGATAACAAAAATTAAATAGTAAAATCAGTGTATAAATTTTTTTATTGATCTGTTATACTGTTCAGTCGTTGGAAATCAATATTAATAACAGGCTATAATTTAAGTTCTTGTCAACATAACACAGAAAAATACTAAATGTAATATAATAATTTGATGGGATGAGTGTTACTGTCTTAAAGAAAAGTATGCTAAAAGCATGAAGACTAATATTAGTCATGGGAACAATTTTTAATCAGCTTGTTCTTACCCAATTTATAATTGTATTTGTCAATTTGTCAATAATATATAACTTTATAGCAGAAAATAAAGGTTTATAGCAAAACTCATGCATATAAATATATTTTGATGGCAATAGAAATCAAATAGGATCCTGCCAAGAGATGCCAAGTTTAACTGCGATTAATACAATAACAGTGTAATTGATGAAAACATATAATCGACATTAGCCATGAAAATATATTTAATAGATTTTGAACATAATTTTAAGGTAGTTTGTTGTATGCTGGAAGCAATTCAATTGTTTTAATGTGCATTGTTTATATACACAAACTAACAATTTTATATTTTGATACCCCCTTCCCAACACTATCATGATTTAAGATAGTCTAGCAAAAATTGAACAATAACTTTTAAATATTGAACAAACAACATGATTTAAACGTTGTTACTAGAGAAGTTTTTTTCCACATATATTTTAAATCACTTTGGTGTTTTCTAAAATGTTAATACCAGTTATGAATGACACTACAAAATCACAACAATGCATTAGAAATGGTAACTGATGTCAACTCTTAGAACAATAGTTGGCAAAGTGATTCCATTTCCCCCTCCCCCCTTTTTATTGAAAAAAAAAAATCTTAAATAAAGAAATGTACACAAATGGTACCTAAGGTATATTGGTGGTGGGAGGGAATTACAAATGTATGCAAAGCTAAAAACAAAACAAATATTATCTTTTAAACTACGTTAAATTATTGGTTATATCTTTGATATGTGGAGCATATTAAAGCATGCTGGATAATGTTAATAACTTGGACTTAAAAAGGATATGTAAGAAAATTTCCAGCATATACACATACCTTTAATTGGCATGTTGCAAAAAAAGAAAAACTGCATTTTATCATAAAAAATATCTACATACGTTCAGCCTTCAGTAAAATTATTAACTATTCTTAGAATTACACATTCATAGTTTTTACCCTTTCTTCAAATACTGTTTGCTCCAGAAAATAATTTTTAAAAGCATAAATAATCTGCTACCGTATTAGTCTATAATGAAATATCTGATTTACTACACTAACCATTTTCACCAATGAGGCTGTATAAAAAACAACTTTTATTATTCACAATCAAGTATTCATGTGCATACATAGAGATTCAAGGTTTCCTATTTGTTCAGATTATTGTAAAACCCTTATCAAATTGCATGGAAATTTTGGTCAAACGATCATACCATTTAAAATGGAAGGGCAAAAGCAGCAGTAGCAGGAACTTTTGGATTGTATGTGCTACTATTGAAACGAACAAAGAGGAAACCTAGGATGAATCTTCATTGAGAACATATATGTACTTTTCAAAAAATAAATGTGTCAAATCTGATTTATGTACTTAAAATATCTGTACATAGGTTATCAGGCGAAAGCACGAATCTGTATAAAATTCATTAATTCTCATTTCACCATTTATCTAACCCCAATCATTCAGCATTTACATTGCACAGTATATTCAGAGTAGTTTAACAACATTTTAAAAGATGACTTAAGTGCATTTACACTGCAAGGTTCAGATTCTTACATAACAATAATATCACTCAGTTAACTTTTCAATGACTACACTCTACAGTAAGAGAAAAAAGAACTGAAAAGTTAAAATAGCAGCAGCATCATGCAAAATACCCTTGGTAAACCAAAGTTCATTTATCACAAGAAAAACATTTCCCCCTCCCCCCAACAAGCTTTTCTTAGAGCATTTTTAAATATCTGGCTAGCACTACATTACTGTGAACAAAAGAAACATTACATCAAAGCACTTATTAAGGGCTTGCTTACATTTATGAGGAAATATGTCACATATTCTAATTTCTCCCTCAAGCACCTTTAGTTTAATAATTTCTTAGGTACTATTTTCAAACCATCAGTTCATTACTCCATCAAAATTTAATTGGTCATCAATTGTGTTTTATTTTTGGCAAAGAAGCCATTCTTCATAAGGCATTTGATTCATGGCAAATTTTTCATAGAAAATTAGCCATTATTTGTGTTTCAACAATTTAGACCAATGTTAATTCTTTCTCTATACATTTCAATAATTTATACTCAAAGCAGGAATTAAGTTTTAACAGAAGAATAAGTGAAGGCAAAAATAATTTCTTTCCCCTTAGAGATTTTCTTAGTAAAACTGCAACAAGTCAAAATTCCAGGTCAATATCAAGACATTTCTTATGATTCATAAACAATTGTATGGGGAACCCTTTCACATGTAATCACCAACAATGCAACAACAAACTCCCAAATTTTCCAATAGAGGACACGTATAGGATTTTGCTTTGATGTTATACATAGATGATGCAGCATTCACACACGTTTAAGGATCTGACACCCTGACATGCAGCCAGTGGGTGCCTTAGGAGTCTGCGCCTTAGTGTTATGCCATGGTATAGGCCCAGGTAATATCTGTCTGATTTTATAGCTGACCCTACTTTAATGTAATTGAGGGCTCATGTTCTGGCAGGGTCTGGAGTTTAATTATGCAGATTTGGTTTCAGAAGGTCACAACAGGCGGTGTCTGCTGCCTGATACCAGCCAAAGTAGTAGAAACTGGATTCCGAAGATATACCACAGGGAGGGATGTAATCCAGAAACACCACCACAGTCAGTATAATCCTCCTGTTGTAAAAAATAAATAAATAAAATAAAAATAAAAATAAAAATCTTGAAAAATCTTTAGTAACACATCTTTTAGAGTAATCCATTTTTACTTCACTTCTGAACTTACCTTATAAAATTGCTTTAACTGAAATCCAAATAAATTCCTTTCTCCTGGATTTTATCATTGAGGAATTTTGGTTAAAGCAACTTCCCTAGCATCATTTGACAAATGCTTTAAATTTTTAGTTGTAGATTTTTATGATTATGAAAGAAAATAATAAATGCTGTTTGAATAATAATTTTAAAGCAAAAACTTTCATAGTATCAAAAATCATATATATTTATAAATACAATAAATGTAAAATTTAATAGGTTTTATAATTCCCAAGAATTATGATTTTAGCAACTATGCTCCATATGGGAAAGTCTGGGACTGATAAATACATTTCCATTTCCCATGTTTCTTACACAATTTCTGAGGTTCAACATAGAGTGCAATCATAGCATCTGGACCTTCATCAAGAATTAAAGTAAAATGAAGAATAATGTATTTGAACCATAAACAATGAAAGGACACGGAAAATACATATCCAAAATAAAGAGCTAAGCTAGGAAGAGATTTGTCTTGAGACAATGAAGAAATATTAGAATGAATGTACTCACATTAACTCCCCATGGTCTGGTGGTAGCTCATTTAGTTCCCTCTTAATGCAAACGTATTATTCATCTTTTATTCCTAGGTTCTATATTTGATAACAATTTCTACATCCTTTAATTCCTTTAAACATAGTGAATTTCATTTTTAAAAACCTCATATTTATTTTTTATTTTTTTTAAATTTCAATAGTTTTTGGGGAACAGGTGGTTTTTGATTACATGGATAAGTTCTTTAGTGGTGATTTCTGAGATTTTGGTGCGCCTGTCACCCAAGCAGTGTACAATGCACCCAATGTATGTAGTCTTTTATCCCTTTCCCCTCTTCCTCCCGAGTCCCCAAAGTCCATTATATCATTCTTATGCCTCTGCATCCTCATAGTTTAGCTCCCACTTAGAAGTGAGAACATACAATATTTAGTTTTCCATTCATGAGTTACTTAGAAAAATGGTCTCCAACTCCACCTAGGTTGCTGCAAATGCCACTATTTCATTCCTTTTTATGGGTCAGTTGTATTCCATGTTGTATATACACCACATTTTCTTTACCTACTCATTGGTTGATGGACATTTAGGTTGGCTCCACATTTTTGCAATTTTGAATTGTGCTGCTATAAACATGCATATGCAAATGTATTTTTCATAAAATGACTTCTTTTCCTCAGGGTAGATACACAGCAGTGGGACTGCTGGATCAAATGGTAGTTCTACTTTTCGTTCTTGAAGGAATCATCATACTGTTTTCCATAGTGGTTGTATTAGTTTACATTCCCACCAGAAGTGTAAAAATTGTTCCTTTTTTACCACATGCATGCCAACATCTATTTTTTGATTACGGCCATTCACGCAGGAGTAAGGTGGTATCACATTGTGGTATTAACATGCATTTCCCTGATAATTAGTGATGTTGAGCAGTGTTTTATATGTTTTGGCCATTTGTATATCATTTTTTGGAAATTGTCTATTCATGTTTTTTTGCCCACTTTCTGATGGGATTATTTGAAAGACCATATATTTAAACATCTTTAAAGAATCTAATCCAAGGTAGATGTTCTAAGAATCAAAATAATAGGTTGAATAATTTTACAAAGATTCTGAGTTCCCAAAGAATAAGAACTCTGACTATTTTTGTTCACCAGGATTTAATACAGTGCTGCCACATAGTAAATACATAAAAATTATTTCTTTAACTGTATTTTAAGGCAGCAGAAATATTTTGTTTGTTAAGAAGAAAGCTGGGAGAAAAGAATCTATGAAAAAATTTTGATTTCAATCAATTTACCTCCCACATCTAAACAGAATCATAAAATAATCAATTCTTAGTGTTTATCCTATTTGACCTTTCAGAAGCATTTGACAAATATATAACATTGTCTCCTTGAAATACTTTCTTATGTATCTTTGGCTAACCCACTCTTCTGGTTTTTCTTGAAACTTGTGTATCTCTCCTTGGCTTGACCTCCTTTTCTTCATGCTGTCTACAATGTTAGACTTTTCCAGGTGTTACTTCTCTCTCCTTTCTTCTTTTTCCTTTACACTTTGTTCCTAGATGATCTAATCTAGTCCTACAGCTTTAAATTTCATCCATTTCCTAATAACTCACTCTTTTATATGTTCAATCCTGTATTCTCCTCTGGTCTCTGTATTCATTGATCTCTACTTTCTCCTCTTGTATGTCTCATAGGGATTTCAAACTTGACTTGCCCCTAATATAATTCTTCTGGTATCAGTAAATAGCACTTTTAGAGTAGCAGATAAGGCCAAAGACTACAAGTAATGTACGATCCTCTTTTTTTTCTCAAATCCAATCCTTTTTTTTTTTTTTTTTTTTTTTGAGATAGGGTCTCACTCTGTCACTCAGGCTGGAGTGCAATGATCTTGACCTCCCTGGGCTCAGGTGATCCTCCCACCTCAGCCTCCCAAGTAGCTGGGACTATAGGTGTGCACCACCACACCTGTCTAATTTTTTATATTTTTTGCAGAGATGGGGTTTCAGCTGGGAATCCATCCTCTAAGTCTAGCTTCAAAATACATCCCCAAACCTACTGCTTGTCACTACTGCAGGTCCAAGTCACCATTACTTCTTCCTTCCATTTTGCAAAAGCTGCCTCACTTGTCCCATGGCTTCTACTCTGCCCTTTTGCAAATGCTTCTCCAAAAAGCAGTCTTCTTAACACCACACATTCTTTCACTCCCTGCTCAACATTTCTCATCATTCTCAGAGCAAAATCTACATTCTTTATTAAGGTCTACAAAGTCTTATGAGGTCTGGAGCCTGGCTGCCTCGTCTTCCCACTTTCTCCTCTCCCACATACACACTCTGCTTCAATAACACTGGCTTCCTCTGCAACAGGCCAAGCTCTTTAGTGCCTTTGCATTTGTTTTGTTCAGATGCTTTTCTCTCCAGGTAGGGTAACCAGATAAAAAACAGGGTACCAGTAATAATTGAATATGAGATAAAAACATACTTTATATAAATGTATTTCACACAGAGTGGCTAGATACATAGTAATGATTTGATAAATGAATAGTAGGTACTCAATAAAGCAGCACACACTGACTGGTTAGAAACACTATGAGGTATTAACTTAAAGAAGTCATTGTCACTTAACCAGGAGTACTCCCCAGTTATGATTAAGTGTTAATTTGAATAAAAATTACCACACAACAAGACCCATTTGTGTATTAAGAATATATTTTGTCATCTTTATAATCTACAAATGTGTTATGGAAAGAAAAATATTCTCTTTGGCCCTTATTTCAGTGTTTTTATTTTTATATTTGGGTGTTTTTTTGTTTCACTTCCTCTGTGTGATGATGAGATATATCTGTTTCGATGGGAGGTGGTAGTTTAGATAAGTTATTGGGGCTCCCTGTAGTCTGCATGTCAACTCACACTGAAAAATGTGCCTTTTAAGTTTCCTGATCATGTCTTCCCATACATTTTGCATGGTGAAACTCCATGTAATGTATTTCATAGAATCATTTCAAGTCTTATTATGGGATACATTCTAAATCACAAATGCCCTGATGTGGGAGCAACCCAGCATTATCTCCGTCCTCTAGAGACTGAAATCCCACTGACACCATGACCAGATATAATAAATCGGTCTGATTTTTAAACGATTATTTAAGTAGAAAATAACATATTGGTACTTTAAGTTTAGAACATTAAAATGGAAGAAGAATCAGTGCCAATATTATATATTTATTTTAAAATATGATAAAACTAATTTTATTAGACTTCCTTATAGGGGAACGTCTCTTAAAAGATTGTGTTGTTAAAGATATCAACTGAGAACTCTTTAGTCCTTTCTTTCTCATTACTCTTTAAAAAATCTAAACCATGGTAAAATTCATATGGTATTTGCCCCCAAAGTTTTCTTTATACAGCATGTGTTACCAGTGACTAAAATCTTTTGAATTTACTGTTGCTAAACTCTTACTCTGCTTTTCTTTCCCCATTCAGAACCTGGGATAACTAATGGCATACAGTACAAGCTTAATAATTTTTAATTTATTAAATTTAGAAATACATTTTTCAAAAGAAAATGTTCTGGTCATTTGGCTAAAAGGTTTTTGATCTTTTTTTTTTTTTTCCCTGAATTATAGCCATCATTTAATTTCCTTCAAAATGCAAATCACTGTTGAAGACAGCCATCAAATCATGGATTAACTTTTGAATTCAGGTAAGTCTGTACTAAAGTTACCACCAGCAATTTCAAAGAAAATCTATATTTAAAAATTTTTAGGCAGGTAGATACGGCATAATAATAGGAATAATGCCCCCAGCAAATAATTCGTTCTCCTACATGGCACCTTAACACTCTTACACATTTACTCAAGAGATAGGCAGTATATTTATTCAACTCTTTAAATGTAGACAGATTATATACCCAATAATATGCTTTATAAATTGGGTTTGCATAAAATAATTTCTCAATGGACAGAATTGGCTTGCCTTACTTCTTTGATTAATAAACGTTAGCTTTTTCATTTGCTTTTGTACTTGTGTGTGACTTGAGTCTTCACAAAGCTTGTTATCAAAAAGTCTTGTTTGAACACTTGAGTTCTGATGAAGTCGTCATGGTATGGAGCTTCATAATTGTTTATGTATAATCTTTATCCTTCTGGAATCTACAGGATTAATGGCCCTTTGGTAGGCTTTGGAGATTACACTACCATTCTACTTTGCCTGTGAGCAGAACCTAATCCAACAGAAATTGCTACTTTTAGCCAGACTATATTGGAGCATAGACCATGACCTTTATTGGTCCTTAATGTGGGAAACAACTGCCAACTAACCTTTCAGTACTTTTTGCAATGATTTTTTTTTCAACTTAATTGTTTCAGAGAAAATAATACTTCCTCTGAGATCATTATATCAACATTCAAATAGCACTAAGGGGATTCACTGTTCTATACTGATAACTGTGTTTTTAAATACTGAAACCACATCTTGTTAATGTAAAATATACACCATCTATATTATGTATTCCTGTGATATAATAATATAAAAGAATCTCAAATGTGTTCTTTTTAGAGATCAGGATATAGATTATGCAACATCTACAATTACGAAGTTCCATACCATGAGGACTTCATCAAAATTTCAAGTGGTCGAGAGTTTTTGATACAAGCTTTATGAAGACTTAAGTCACACACAAGCAAAAAAGATAAGCAAATGAAAAAGCTAACATTTATTAATCAAAGAAGTAAAGCAAGTCAATAATTGTCCATTGAGAAATTTATTTTATGTAAACCCAATTTATAAAGCATATTATCCGGTACATAAATATCTAGTTGAGTCCATGGTGATATATAATTATTTCCATGATAGATTTATAATTGTGGTGGAAAGAAAGTATCATAATAGGAAAATGTTATTTTGTGTGTGTGTGGGGGGGGGGGGGTCTTAGGTTAAAAAAAAATTTACATTCACTGTTGCTATAGGATTTTTTTTTTTTTTTTTTTGGAGACGGAGTCTAGCTCTGTGATCCAGGCTGGACTGCAGTGGCACAATCTTGGCTCACTACAACTTCCACCACTCAGGCTCAAGCAATTTTCCTGCCTCAGCCTCCAGAGTAGCTGGGACTACAGGTGCGTGCCACCATGCCCAGCTACTTTTTGAATTTTAGCAGAGATGGGGTTTCACCAGGTTGCCCAGGCTGGTCTCAACTCCTGACCTCAGGTCCACCTCGGCCTCCCAAAGTGATGGGATTACAGGCGTGAACCACTGTGACCAGCCATTGCTATAGGTTTTTAAGAGAAAGGTAAAAAGAGAGCTGGCCTACTCAAGACCAATACTTATATATTTTTTAGTGTAATTGATAACCTATAAATCTTACCTAAAAATTCTATGATCGAGAGAAGTAAGCTTTTGAATCAAGGGAAAATAAGGACAATTATGGAAACATATTTGGTAACATTTTTCTTGTGTAATGGTTGACTACCTATGAACTTCTTTAAGGAATCAATATTTCAAATAGTTGCATACATATCAATTTTTAAAATGTTTATATGAAGATATTTGATTTTAGTATTTTAATTATTAAAGTAATGTTTCCTTTGCTTGGAGTCTTTTGCCATGAAAGCCATTCTTTTATTATCCCAGAAGACAAGTGGTTATTTTCTGAGACTCCCTCTGCTATTCTACTCCCCACCCTCTACCACCCCTGCCTGTGAATTCACTCCTTTCATAGTAATGGTCACATCTCCATCTAGTGGCTTCCTAATCAATGACTACCTGGAAACTGACGACAAACACAACAAAAGTGTGTGCTCTAGTAACACAATCATGATGATTCCAAAGCATTAGAAAAGAAATTGCAAAACAGTAAATGAAGAACTAAACGCAAATGCAAGCACCGAAACCTCTCTTTAGTAGTACTGAATACAGAACTCAGAAATTTCTTCAAAGGTTAATAATTTTGGGCTAGATAATGTAATATTAAATAAAATGAACTTAGAAACTGGAAGCACTTATTCTAAAATATTTCACTATTTTGAGTAAAAATCTAAAAAGTTATTTAAGTCAGATTTATTTTAAGAAGTAGAAAAATCTGAAAGGAATTAAATTTGCGTTAGCATCTTTTGTAAATAAACTGAGATAACCACCTCTAAAAATTGTCATTAGATAGTTCTCATATCATGAAGCACGACAATTTTTACACAAAAACTTTATGAAAAAAATCATTTTTACATAAATATTGAAAACTAATATGTTTCATTTAGGATTAGAAATTTACATGCCATTTGAAATCAGCTATTTCCAAAACAACATTGGTCCTGAGATTTTAATAACCTAGTTTCAGGAACATTAATATTATGGATTTAGGGATATGGGTGATTTTCTAAAATTTCAAGCTGAAAACAAAAAGAAAAATTAGAGAAAGTGACTGACCATCCACACCACATGAAAACTTGCAGTAAAATGAAGATAGGAGCTGACATCATGGTACAGGCACCACTCGTTGTGCATTTAAGTTGATCCTATTAATAACGGGCAAAGTAGCAAGTACAGGAAAAGGAAAGAAAACACAGAAAAGAAGACATACAAGATGAGATTTCATGCAATTTGCTGGCAGTTAACGTGAGTCTCCATCCAGAGCAGATTCACAGTGACCATTGCAAATAAGCATTACCAAAATACTCCACTGCTAAAGAAACACAAGATATTATTAGCACACCAAGCTACTGAGCAACAGTTGTACTTTCACACACAACCCGTTTATAGGAGCTTCAGTTGCTGAACATTTTTGTCTTGGTCAAATCTTTTTAATGCCTTGATCATAAGATAGAGCCTCCTAGAATAATATTTTGGGCAACAGGGTTTTTATGTCATTTTTTCAAGTTCATCTGAATTTAATATTCCTACTGTCAAAAAACTGGTGGCAAATAGTTGATAAGTGAAGCTTCTCTAACGAGTGACATGACCCTTGGCGCTTCATAAAATATTATTTGGGAAATAATTTTACATGGGCAACCTGCTGAAGGTGTAGTAGGCAGAATAACATGAGTCCTCCTATCTGGACTCTAAATGTCTTAAGGAAAAAAAAAAAAAAAAAAAAAAAAAAAAAGGAAAAAAAAACCCCTTAGTGGCAATGTTGAAATACTTTCCCTAGCAAGGATCAATAATCCCTCACAGAGATAACTGGGATTGACTGGCTAATACATCTTGAATTTTTTAGTCCCCATCACTGATTTTATTTCTTCTTTGCTCCATTTTTAATTTATATTATCTGTGAAATGTTTTATCCTTTCTGGGACAAATGCAGCTATGTATTTGAGTAGGTAAACCTCTTCTAAATAACTCTTAAAAATGCACATTAATCAATAGATGTTCTGACCTATTTTTAGAATAAACAATTTATGAGATAATGCATTACACGTTTGGATGCTCATTGGTGTGTGCAAGCCACTTCATGCGGTGGCACACCTTGAAGAATCAGAATTGGGAAGTATCGTATTTAAAATTAGTTAAAAAGAAGTGGACAGAGATTTTTATGTGGACTTTGTCTTTGAGAATAGATTAGTATTTCTAAAGCATAAAGCTAATGTATTACATACTGATGATGTATTACCTACCTTGTACATAATCTATACACAATAAGTCAGATGAACTATAGGAAACGTAGTAAGCCATCTTTAAGTGACATATATTTAATATGATTTGTAATATTTTATCAAACTAATCCTGTGTAATTGACCTGGTCTAATTTCAAACACCAGAAAAAGAAATTAAATAATACAAGTCTAATATGTGATAGAATCAGAAACCATCCAAAAGAAACTAGAACTCCATAATAATAAGACAATGGCTGTATAACAGGTTTTTCAATTCACTGAAGACGAATATAACTAATAAAAATGTAATAAACTTAATTTTTATATCTTCAGGATTGGAATATAAATAGAGGCAACAAATATATCATAATTAACATTTACTATGAGTTAATTATTTATTAATCTTGAAAATCAGATTTATGACCTTGGATTATTAGTCAATTGATTGGAATTGTGTTTGAAAGCACAATTTCTGTGGGAAGGACATACAAAAGAAGCAACTGTTAAGTTTATGCTAACCATGAAAACTACTGAAATGAAAAAAATCTACCAGCAAGTATGTCATGTTAATGAGAAAAACTATGGTTAAGACATTATGTTTGAGTTAAATTGTCTCCTTGAATTCTTGTGGCCAGTGAGCATTAATTTATAGTATTTCAATCCAGTAGAAGTGTGATCTTACCAAGACATTGTTATCAAAGCAGACATCAGGCCCTTTTCGGTATCTGGGTTGCTTAACCATGTCACAAGGATTTGGACCATCAGCTAAAGAGGCTTGTTAAGGAATCTCTTGTTAGTTTTTTTTTCCACATGACTAAAAATAAATACAATGCAACGTATTTCCTGAAACATGTAAGAGATAGCTTATACATCATTACTCTCATCCAACACAACTCAAGTACATTGGGATTTAAAGAACTAAATTGTGAATTATCCTTTTCCGGGGCATGTGTAGCATAATTATTCTTGACATTCCAACCAAATTTTGAGTGAGGAATCCATTCTGCCTTTGCGAGGTGATCAGAGCCATCTAATATTTTTCCTCTTTATGAGCATAAACAATGTGACAAGATTCAAAATGCATTATTTTAAGATGGTTTTCCTTTCCAGATAGCTCTGATGTCAAAGGATACAAGTCTGTTCTGCTTGTATGAGCAGTCGTGTGTCACAGGGACATGTCCCTTTGCTCTCAACCATTATAAATATTAAGTTGGTGTTCATAAGCTTTTCACCATGAAAGATTCTGCAAAATATGATATCACAGAAAATGAGTATCTTTGTCAAAATAAATGGAAATATTTCAAAGATTCTTACATATTAAAATGAAAGACAAAATATGACATTTGAAACATAAACCATTCCAAGCACAATAGGATTATGATTTTAGAAGAAAAAAAAGTTTCATTTATTAGTGTGAAAATATTACCTATGTCAAATAAATAAAAAATTGCAATAGATGTTTTATGTGTGACCATTTTAAAATATTAGTTCTCATTGCAAAATAAGCACTATTTAGTTGTTGATGCACATAGAAAAGTTTCTTTACACTTACAAATAATTGTGATACTTATCACTGAAAATATGCCAAAGTTGCTTTATTTTACAGATAACACAACAGGGAATACAAAAATGTCTAGGCATCTTGCCCAAACTAAGGGCAGAGACAAGTCCGGAACAGTAATATTAAGCAAAGTTTCTGTGAAGATGGAAAAGTTTTTTGCACTGTCCAGTATGGTAAATGCTAGCCACTCAAGGGGTATTGGGCACTTAAAATGTGACAAGTGTAACTGAGGCACAAAATTTTAATTTTAATAACTGTAATTGAAATTTCGATGGCCACCTATGGGTGGTAACTACTGCATTGGACAATACAGACATGGACAGCATCAAGGGTTTTGAATTCCATCCCCTGTTTTGTCCACACCTTAAGCTGCTCTTACTTTAGTAACCAACACAGAAAATGTAAATATATATCACTAAAAAAGTAATTTCTTCATCATTATACATTTTGCAGAAAAGCGGGATTTTCTTTTTGCTCTGTTAAGCTTTGATTTCCATAAAACAAATCAAAAGGAAAGTATGATTCAATTTAATGTCTTGGTTATATTGACCTTCACTTTACAATTTAACTTACTTCTTTAAGCACACGTTGCTCTTGCTGGATGTCAATTAATAAAAGGCCAATGACTGTGAAACTCTGATGTATCCAATAAACATGCCACAATTCCATTTCCTGAGGTGCATAGCCTGATACGCTAATCTCCTCTAAACAAGATAGTCTGCTTTTTTGTGAGTTCATGCTTGACTCCTCCTCCCCTTTCTTCTCCTCTTCATATATTCTACCTCCTCCTTGGACATAGAGGTTTGCTAGAGAAAGTCATAAAACATACCACGTCTACTAAAAATTCATGAGAGGTTGCTTAGACCCTCTTGCAAAAAAAATTTTTTTAAACAATTCTGGCACTTTCATAATCTCAGATTACCTCACCTCCTCCTATTTCTTCTTCTGCTATGGTAACATTTCTTCTAAAATAACCTGCCCTCCACCTCTAAAAACAAAGTGTCTCTACTCTGTGCTTTGTAAGCTGTGACTTGCTGCTCTCTTCTCAGGAATCTTGTGGCATTAATTATTACCTTCCCCTCAAAATCCCCATCTTGCCTTTCTCCTCTATCCTCATTACAATAAAATTAAATTCTCCATCTCTTCCCAACATTTTAAAAGATATTTTATGGATACTGACTAAACATTAACCATGACCTAAGAAAATTGTATTTTTTCCCAGTTCCTTCAAATTCAAATAAAGATAACATTCAGTTCTTCAAGTCAGAGAAGACTAGAAGTAAAAACAAAACAAACAAAACAAGATGTTTTTGTGTAAATCTGTTTAGTTACCATATAGAAAAATAATTCATATTTGGCTCAGAATTACTTAGAATTACTAATATATTTAATTGTATAACTTTATATTAGAAATTTTTAATATGGGTTATTTTAGGAAAAAAGTTAAAATATCAAATTTCTCTATGTTCTGCCTAAAGAGAAAGTAATTATCTTGATCATGTAATTATTATTATAGTTGAAGAAATAACAGCTTATCAAAGTTAGAATTTTAAAAATTATAAATTTTAAAAGCCTACAGAGAAACTAAAGATCTCTGACATTTTCAACTTAAAACAATTACTCACATCTCTGGCTCCAACACAATTTTCAGTTTTTTCTGTAATGATTATAACAGTATATACAATTTCTTAATGAAATAGGACGACTCCAGAAATAAAGAAAGAAATTACCTGGAACAGTTTCCACAGTCTAATACACCACTGAATGATTTACTATCGTTATCGAAGAAATACTGGGTTTGTTCAGTAATGCAGCTCTGCTTTGACAGGGAGGCTGTAAAGTCATCATCCTCCATCTCAACTTGGGTGGGGAGAGGCGGGTAAAAACAAAGAACACCATTAGGAGGGGCCACTGTAGTCAGTCCCCTGGAGTCTTCACTTCTCACAGAGCAAAATAAATGTCTAAGACCAGGAGGCCTGGACTGGCTTGTTTACTGCTGTGTAATATCGTGGCAGCCCGTAATAGATGCCTGATAAATATCAATAGAAAAAATTAATTTAAATACATAATGGCTATGAGATCAAGGTCAATGTGACCTAAGTAATTTCTAAGACATTAGGAAAGGTTGGACAAAAAGTTTCTAGCTCTAAAATTATGAGATGGGTGATCTGTTTTCTCTTTCTCACACAAATAGTCTCTGAATTTGCTGAACTCAAGCATGTCCCCCCAAATAATTTTTATTGTTATGACAGTGACAAGGTCTGAGCATTTACATACCTGCCTCAAGGAGTCGTGGAAAGGTCAAACTCAAGAGAAACTGCTGTAGAATAGACCTGAATTTTTCAAATAAAAAACATAATAAAAATCTAGGAAAAAATGTGTTTTTACACGCACACATACACATACTGTTTCCCTTTATTTTTTTGGGAAGGAAAGTCTAGGAGTGTTTTTATTTAAGTATTTTTAAAATTATATAACACATTGTAACCTTTCTTGAATGTGTCAAAGAAGTCATGAAATCAGAAGTGCTCAGATCTTGCTCTGGACCAAGTGAGACACACGTGTTAAGAAGCCTAACAGGCAATGTTATCAAGCAGAAGTGTTCACTCTAAGAAGGAGAATGTCAGTGTTTCAGCGCATAGGTTTTTACATTCATTACATCTCCTTATTTTAGCTTTTAAAACCATTTGTTTTTTGAATTCCCCCCGCCCCCAACAAAGAAACAACACTGTTTATACCATGGGTTTGAATTTGTTAACTATTTACTTTGTAATATAGAATATATTTGTAAATATGTAACTTTCATGAAACAAAATATACATATTATAGAGATATGGCACATTTCAGTTTTACAGTAACTGACAACTGAGCCAAATTTCTAGAACTGAATTTAGTTTAAAAAAAGTGGGGGTGGGAGGGGATATAGTATAAAGTATTTCAGGGTCATGATGAAATTTTAAAAGCCTACTGAAATTAATATATAAAATCACATCAGAAAATACCATTTTTCAGAATAAAACAATTTTCTAAATCTTTCAAAAAATCTCAAAATTTTAAAATCCTAAAATCTTCTTTGCTGCTTTAATGATATCATCACTTAATTTTAGCAGGGCAAACCTCAACATCAAATGAATACTGTATATTAATCTACGTGGAATAGGGCTAACAATACAGTGTGATGACACCAAAAAAAAAAAAAAAAAAAAAAAAGATTAGAGGGGAGAGAAGGAAGGGGGAGATCATGGATCCCAGACCTAACAGGAGGTTTAGTTACAACTAAACAATAAGAAATGTGATCTTCCAGACTTTCCACAGTGCCACAATTGACCATTTGAATGTCTTATTTTCATAGGTTGTAGGGTCTACAGGTAAGGGATGGGGGAAGTTTGGAAGGTAGAATCGGTAAAAAGAAACAATTAGATCCATTTCAGCAACATGATGCCCCTAAAACGATACCAGTACTTGTATCACTAGTAAAGAGGCAGAAGGTTGCCATCATGCCATGAATTTGATGCATGCGGACATCCAACTTGGATACTAAAGACAATTAAATTGTAACTTCTTACAGATCAATACACCTAAAATTGGTGTAATACTTTTATAAATACTTAATACAAATGAAAAGAATTTCAATAGATGTGTAGAGGAAAGAAGACTCTAAAGAGGTTGAAGTTTACATCCACATAACATTGTTTTCATATGAGAAACTGAATAATGGTAATTTCATATTGTTCACTTAGGAAAAAATATCAATATTACCAATAAGTGATGTAGAGAATGAAAAAACCTTAACTCCCTTAATAAAAAATTTGAGTGTCCCCTAAATCCATATTTTCATCAGATGCTTTTCTATTTTACAACTTCTTTCTTTCATTACCAATAAAACTAAAATTTTGACCTACCAGGCAGCAGCAGTGGCCCACCAGCCAATTTGTAATATGTCTGCTATTGATGGCTATAAAATAAAATAATAAAGTCATTTCAGTAGTCTACTTGATACTGAGGACACTTGAGTATCCTCTTGAGAAGAATTGATTAGACTGTGGATATTACTGACCACATATGCTGAGCGATGTCCTGCTCCTTGTTTTGGTGCAGCACCAGGCTCGCATACTGACTGATAATCATAAGATTTGTTAAAAGCATAAACTGATATATTAACCAGGTGTCTCATCAAGCTGGGATCAATCTCTCCAAAAAATCTTCCAATCTGGTGAAGAAAAAAATCATAAAGCAATGTGTACTTAAAATGTAAGTCAAAAATGAACATTGGAATCACCACTACAGTGAAAAGAAATAATTCAGAGAAACTGAACTACAACTGAGGAGCTTAAAAACAGAAGCAAATGAGAAACTGTACATGACACTGTGAACAAATTAAAATGAGAGTAAGTGTTCTCATTACTCAGTGGGGCTGTGTGATGTTTTATTTGTGGAAGGAATGGACACACATTACTAAGCACTAAATCACAATCAAATGCCTCCCAGATGAATAAAACAGGGGTGGGGAATAAAGAGGTGTAAGTCAAAGGGTACAAAGAAGCAGTTATGTAGAATGCATCAGCCTAGAGATTCAATATACAACAGAGGACTGTAGTTAATAATACTGTTTTGTCTACCAGAAATTTGATGAGAGTAGATTTTAAGTCTTCTTACCATACTGCAAAAAAGGTTAACAACCTGAGATGATGGATATGTTAATTGGCTTGACTTCAGTAATCACTTAACTATGCAAATCAAAACATTTTGTTGTACATCTTAAACATATACAATAAAAAAAAAGATCAAATGCCCCCCTGGGGAATGGAAAAGTAGCATAAATGAGAGAGCAGGCGGGCCTAGAAAAAGAACTTGTAGGGACTGTGATGAACTGGAACAAGTCCCATCTAAAGGGGCAATCACGAGTTAATCAGCTTCAGCCCATAAACACTGTCATCCAGAAAACAAAAAAAGCCCAGTGTTGAGATCTCTTTTGCTTTTTCCAAAAAAGAGAAGCCAGGAATACAGATTCAGAAGCGAAATTAGTTCTAATTCAAATTTGTTAAAAATCTTGTATGAGGTAAATAGCCTATGTGCTGCTAATTTGCAGATTTGAGACTAGAAATTACATCAGTTTTAACCAACTATATATGAAATTGGATATCATCAACTGACAAATTTTGAAGTGAAAATTTTCTAAGTATTCTTAAAGATTAAAAAGATCATATCATGCTAAAATTCTGAACTGTATGTTTTAATGATACCAGTATTAAAATGTAAAATCAAATAACATAAAAACTAGACTTAGCATGCCTTTCTTAATGGTTTACATAATATTAAGCATTTTACAAATTATTTTATGATAGAAACAAAACATCTCATCAATTTCTAAAACACTGAAAGAGGTTTTGTAATGTTGATCAGGGAAACGCACTTTGGAAAGCCTAATTCTCTCTTATTTCAGCACATACCTGATTAGTATAATCATCATGATTTGCCATCAAAAGAAACCCACCGTCATCCAGAATTACACAATCCATTACCTACCAAAATAAAATGAACAGTTAACACATTTTTAGAAAGGTTTGGAGGTTGTATTGTCTTTACCCCATTATATGTACATGATTAGAGCAATAAAAAATAGAAAACTTTAAATGACTATCTTCCCTTGAACGTATATATATATTCATGAAATTCTGGTGAAATAAAGGCATGCATAGATTTATATCAAACCATCACGCTTGATAATCCAACACCAACCATCCATTTGAGACTGTCAATTCAGTCTGAACAAATCATAAAAGCAAATTCAAAAAAATCTTTTTACCACTTTTGTGTCATCTAAATGATCCAGAAAAATGGATAATTATTTAATAATAACTGATTTCAACACATACTTAGGATTTCAACAAAAAGATATTTTTAAAAATATCATTTTAGTTATCCTGTTTCACAGACTTAAAACATGTCAGTACTATAAGACTATAATTATTTCATACTTTCAGATTGAAAATATGTAGTTGGATAATTGGAGATTTAAAAGCAAAATGCAAAACAGAAAATGTCCATGGTTAAGAAAATACTTAATTCACCCTGAAACATACGATAAATTCCTACCTAGTTTAAATCATGTTTTAATGTATGAAAATCAATATAATTTGTATTTAATAAAATCACAAATAAAAACATTGTTTTCAAAGTTGAGGATGTAATGCATTGCATTTTCCTAATGTGGAAGCAGCTTATTACTAAATTTTTTGCTCTTAAAACAGCTACTGCATAGTCCATGTCAAATAGATGTTACAAAAATCACTGAAATTATTGGCTCATAATTCCACACGAGTAGGAGTGATAAAGATGATATAAACCGCCTGTTTCCCTTGGAGATATGCAGACACACATAAGAGGACTGGAAGAAAATATCGTTTCATCATCGTTACTCAAGTTTTAGAATTAGAGCATCTTCAACTTTTGAACAAAGTTCACATTTCCTTTTCCAATTTCTCAAACAGATGTGAAAGTAATACAAGACAACTTAAAACTCAATCCATGTAACTAGAACTTTATAATAAACTGAAATACTTCTGGGTTTAGTTAAAAAAAATTTTCCTATAACTATATAATACAGTGTGAACAAATTTAGAAAAAGTGTGATAGGTGAGAGAAAACTGCATTGATAACCAATAGGGATGCTTTGGTTAGAAACTTCCTATCCAGAAATAGAGCTAAACATAAATATGTGCAAAAGAATGTAACACCGTTGAGAACGAAGAGAACCATCACGTTGACATGACTACTTTTTTAACCTTCCAAGGACATATACATATTTTTAAAAATTCAAGCATTTCACGTTCAAAATCAAAAGCATATAAATTCAAATGAATATATTATTTCACATTTCCATAGGATTTTTTAGTCTTTGATTAAAAATTCCTGCATATTTTTTGTCATCATTCTAGTCTTAGCAAGAGTAACACAGGGAAATATTGTACTCAACAGTGATTTTAAACAGTTTTCTTACATCACTGTTTCTTTTGCAGTCACAAACTGGACCAGCACACTGAAAGACAAAAAAAAGATTATTACATTTTTTTTTGCAGTTGGATTTTAATTACATTATTACCATGTTATAATTAAAAATTCTGGAATAATTTATCCAGTAGAAAAATGAGATTAAACAGTCTAGTCCATAAGAAACAGAAGTTTTATCTTTAAAATTAGAAAATGTCAATCAATATATAAACTAGCATTGCATGTTGTAACCTTGAAATACTTTTATTACATATTGACTAATTTAAACAAAAAGCTTTGAAAAAATAGGAATTCAGAATTCTGCTTCAGTGTAGTGGTACTGAGAACATATTTGCCTTATGTTTATTTGTATAAAGACCTTATTTTTTTTCTACTGAATTTTGAAAACATTAAATATAGCATAAGAATTTTTTAAAACTATCTTACCGGATCTCTGATTGAGGTTTTGGTGAAATTCTCTATCCAGGAATTTACATCGATTTTAATTCCAACAACTGAAAAATTAATTTGAATTAATTCAAAGGCATAATTACCTGTAATACAATCTTTGCAATATGACAGTTTAATTATTTTGATAGCAAGTATCAGATTATAGTTTATTACAGAAGTTTTAGTCTGTTGTTCTTAAGAAATAATGCTAATAGCTCTTAAACTATTACATAAATTGTAATTTATATTCACAAAGAGTGTATTCATTAGCCACAACCTGACCAATTAACTAATACAATAAGCTAAATAAAAAACATTAGTGTCAGGAGAGCCTCATAAACTTGAGGTCATTCAAATGGTATATTTTAAGAGGTTTCCCTAACTCTACCAGTGCTTGCAGTAGGTACTTAATAAATCTTTGGTGAAAGAGTGAACAGATGAATGGATGAGTAGGTGGGTTAGTAGGAGAGTGGGTGAATAAATGAATGGCTGAGAGAATAACTGATTTAGTAAGTAAATGAGCAATTGAGTGAATTAAGGAATAGGTGGATGAGTTAGTAAGTGATGGAGTGAATTAATGTAATAGATCCACTGATGGGGTAAAGCTGCCCTCAGAGAAGGAAGGCTCAAAATACTCTCCTTTATAACTTCAAACACTGAATCATACAATCAAAAAAACTAATAGCTTTAACCTTATTGTATTCACTCACTCTAGCCCACTTCCAATCCTCATTGACGCTCACTTTTACTATGTTTGTTTACTTGCCTATTTTTCCAAAAAGTCGTTTTTCTATATATTTTATAGCAAGTTTTTAACTGAGCCCTACTTAATTCACTTTAACAGACACCTAGTAGAATATAGTATAATTATGCCATATTTATCTTTTCCCTCAGGGCTGGAAACTTAACTTTTTTGTACAAATATGTAACTCCTTGGCCATATAACTTTGTATGTATTTTAATGTATTAAGAGAGACTTCTGGAGTGGGGTTGCTAATCCAACATTAAAAATTTTTATTATTATACTAAACTGATTCCATAAATTTGTGTCAGAGTATAAACATACACACAGTTTTGAAAATTTCTCAAATCTATGTAGTATCAATTTGATTTTATCCCAACTTCATAGGTAACTAGTTACATTTTATTTAATTTTTTAAGTATGCATGCCTTTTTTGTTTGAGACCTTCTGATGACCTTGATAAACACTGCCAGTTTATAACATAAATGCCAAGTAACATTTAATTTTGGTTGTGTTTTTGTAATTAATATATATCCTTACCTGCAGGTTTAAGAAGTTTCCCTTGAATATATATTTCTACAGCTTTGCTTACCATAATGCCCGATTCATAGGCACCAGGTCCACTTTCTAAAAAATAAATAAATAAACACCTATCAAGATATATTGATTAATAATATTGATTTTCTGTCGTTAGATACAGATGGATAGTATTTTGCTTAAAAATTCTAGCAACTATAAACTATAAAAATGTTTGTGCTCTCCTTCCTCTCTTCTTCCTTTGTATACACTAGGCTAACTGGTATATCCATGAATTGGTTTGTATTCATTGATTCGGGGGCATTAATTATCTTGGTTACATCTGCTTTCACAATAATTGTTAAAATATTAGGGAGTTCTGCTGAAGTGAAGTGGAAAGATTGATTTTGGATACATAAAACTGACTTTGTCTAAGATATATATCACTGGCAAAACTTTGAAATTCTCTGAATTTGTTTCCCCATTTATGAAAATAAAGGTAAATAGTACCTATGTGCAAAGACGTTCAGGGATTAAATTACAAGGTTTTTGGGAAATAACTCAAAATATTTTAAAAGATAAGCTATTAATTGTATAATTATATAATTAATACTGATAAAATGTAATTAGTCAATGAAATTACTCTACTTTATTTAATTCCTTAAATGTTTTTCAATACATTTTCAGTTGTAATATGAGGGATTTTCTACATGTGTTTCTACTTCTTATGCATGTCTGACAGATATGCTATCTCTAAATTATTGGAAGACTGCTGTGTATGTATTTTGCCTCTTCAACTAAATGATGTTTCTTTTCTATTTTCCTAATGCCTTGCAAATACTCTATTTTTAATGATGACTATTCTGAGTAGTTGACATAAAATGTAGTGACTTTGGGGGAAAGCAGATAGTAGCAATAATTTATTTTTAAAAAGATTGAGAAAAGCTGAATTCCAAAGCAATACTTACTGTTAAAGTAGGGAGCAGTGAAAACATAGTTATCATTATCTAGGCTCCTTTTATAGAAGCTGTCCTCATATGTCTCTGGGTTTTCTTGCCAATTTTCTCCAGCCCTAAGGAGGAAATGGCTCATCATTTGTATTCTTTAATCTATCTGATAACCTACTTTATCCTACGTGGACTTGCTGAGCTTTACAGATACGCCTACATTTCAGGTATGTCTAAAGAAGTTAGTGGTAATTGATAGCATAACTGATACTCATTACTGAGCAATGCATCAGCATAGCACTAAATTAAGAATCAGAAAAAGCTAACTCCTAGTTTTACTCCATTGTTTACTAGACAGGTAGTAGGACAAGTAAGTTAATAGGTCAATTAATGTTAGTAAGCATTGGTGACTACTCAACCTACTTCATGGACACTGTTATGAAGATAATAGAGACAAGATACATCAAAGAAGAGTGAAAGACCATGAAGTGCTACATAAATATTGCTGATAGGCTATAATCATTGTGCTCATTTCACTGGTTTAGCTTGTATCTACAAAGAGAAAAATCCCTTTAAATATCTCTTAAATTTGGTAATAAATATATTTAGCAAGCATTCCAGAATTTTATAATGTCATTTTTCAGAGAAATAAAATCTTTTAATAAAGTAAATACTGTAAACAATGGCTCCAATGTAATCTAACGGCAATCAGTTTATTTGAAGAATAGCTTCCTTATGCTGTAATGTACAAATCCTTGGTGCAGTCTTTTGTAATATATTTGTTTTTACAGATGTTATTTGAACTTACTCTTTGGGATAAACTCTGGTAATCCCACCATCAGTCACAACAAATCGTGCTTTCACTCCCTTGCTGGAACAGAAGACAAAAGAAGGAAATGTTCTATTGAACATATTCTAAGATACAAAGTTAGGTGTTGGTGATACAAAGAGAAGTAAGTTTCTAAAGTAAAGGAAGTAAATAGATGCACAACAATGTTTTAATAATTTAAATTATGTATGAAATTTGTTACTTGAAAGCTGTTTAAGGAAGACATCTCATAGGAAAATAATGACTGAGGTGCATTTTGAACATGGAATATGAATTGACAGCAATGACACAGAAAGCAGGAAGGTATCACTTGTAGAGAGGAAAGTATGTATAAGGGAAAGCTACCAGAGATGGTTGTCGTTTGGTATAGAAAGAAACATAAGACAAAAGGAGAGAAACAGTAAGAGGTAAAGTTTCAAGTACAAGTTTCTAAATGGTCAGCTACTGAATGATTTTGAATTCCATGTCAGAGAGCTTCACCTGTATCTTGAACTTAGAACTGCATTTTAGGAGTTAGATTCTGGTAAATATGAATTGTATGGAGAATTGACTAGGAGCTGCGTGTGGAGGAATGGAGAACATTAAAGGCAGAAAAATCAGTTGCTGTGATTTCTTAGAAATGGGATCTTAGGGCCTTGATTATGAGGTAGAGAAGAAAACATTGCTAGGAGAAATATTTAGCATTTAGTGACTGAAAATGGGGTGGAGAAGAGATGATAAATAAGAATCATATTCAGATTTTCTTGACTGGATGTATGGTAGTGCTATTAGAAATCCAAATAAACATTGACTAGAAATCCTACTTCAGCACAAACAGAAACACACAATCATGCCAATTTAATTTGGTTTATTCACCCTGAAGTGTATGTGCATGAAAAGCTGAGTAATGGCAGACATTAGTACTGAAAAACACCCATAAGTGAAAATGCAAGTTGTCAACAACTGTATAGTGATTTTCTTGAGAAATAATTATCAGATATTACTAATGAACTGTAAATTTTTGAGACTCATACCCAACTTCCACAGGAGAAACGAAACTGAAATGCAGAATATATACTTTTATTAATAAGAACAAATACTTACATATTTTTCTGCTTACTCCAGTAATTTTGGACAAGTTCATTTGTAAAGCCTGCATCAAGCAAGACTCTATTAATCAAATCTGTGTTACCTAACACAGAAAAAGGAGATCAGTTACATTCACAGTTCTAAAATTATGATCATAATGAAAAGTATATTTTCTATTTTCAAAAGCAATTTAGAGTAGATATTTCTATGAATTTTAAAATATATTCCATATTCATTTACTTTGTAATTTTTATATTGTTTATCTTGCCTCACATTTTCCAGGAAATGAATGGATTTAGTAGCAGAAAAATCAATTCTAAATGAGACAAATTATTTTGTAAACTTTATCAAAATATGAAATAAGCTATGTTAAGAAACAGGAAATAGTTTTTCTTTTGTGTTTTTGTTTATTTCTGTATGGTAGCATGGTGATTCACAACCACCATAATTTTGTGACAATTTAATGTATACACACACATCAAATTTTATATATGTATATAAAATGTATATATATAGAAACAGAACTACCTCTGAAATTATCAAGTAAAAACATTCAACAAAATGTTACTGTCTACTTTCACTTTCATTGTTATAAGAAAAGCTATTTTCATTCTTTTCTATCACAAATATCAAAACATAGGATAATCTTGGAGTAAATAAGACTATGAAAAATTCAATGCCACCCACTGAGGAGCAAGGAATGGAATGAGTATCACAGAGCAGTACAATCCCAAGAATGATTTTGAAATCTACTGGTATTGGTCACAGAACCAATACCAAAGTAGATAATAGCTTGTCATTTCTTGAACAACTGAAGTGCATATTAGCCCAAGTTTAAAGATAATTGAGGAAACAGATGATGAGGATCAAAGGTCAATTATTACATATTCTTAAACAAAAACCTCTGCCTTCTTCCCATTCTCCTTGTTCCTCTCAACCCATTAAGCTCTGAAATAACAGGTACCCTCTGAAATTTCACATCTATGATAAAATTTGACTCTTTTCAAATAAAGAATATATGTTCTTAACATCCTATTACGATACAAGGTGGTGGTGAGATAGGCTGGAAACATTTTTGTTGCTTTTAATTATTTTAAGTTAATATATCTTACACCCAGGATTAAAGGATCAATTTAATCCCTATTTTGGAGTAAATTTTAATTCATTCTAGACACTCTTTTTTTTTTACTATATTATTTTAGAAATTGAATCATTTAAAAAACAGTTCATTTGGAAAGTCAATGTTCTAATTGCCTCCAATCCCTTTAGGTAAAAAAATAAATAGATATAGATATAAAAATTGGATTAAAATAAGTGATTCCAATTATTTTGGAATAAAAACGAGTAATTCCAATTTTCATGGTGTTCTGAAAAGTTGTATGTTAAGAAAAACATTTCTGATAAACTCTTTTTGCAAGGAATATGAGAGTGTTTCATAACTTTGGTATCCAATTAAAGGAATAATCAACAATCTTATTACAGTTCTCTCAGAAATGCCTAGTACTCATTAATAGGAAATAAACAATGATGTAAAATAACATTTCGAGGCACTAGCTCAGTCTCAGTGAGCTTGTACTGAGTAGAAAGGTTTGGAATCATCATGTTAAGACATGATCAATGTAGACTTCGGCTCCCATGACAGGTTTTCAGAGTGGCTCACTGAAGCCACTAACTAATTTGTGCTAAAGTGAAGGAGTTAGAAAGTTATTTCTTGTCATATGCAATAAATTGAAGTTAAGGGCAGCTTTAAGAAGGGCTTTGCCTTTTTGATAACTGATAAAGTTCTTTGTTTGACCCTTCCTGATAGAAAGATAAATAACTGAAAAACAAAAAAAGAAAAACAAAAAAAGGGAGGAGGAGAAGGAAAAGGAGGGAGGGGGAGAGAAGAACAAAGAGACTCCTCTTTGAGAGAGAACCAAAAAAGTCAAAAATGTGTACTTATTCTTTTTCCAAATTTTATTTATGAAGATAAATTTTGCCATGAATTTGGTTTTCCTCTTATTTCCCATTTGTACAGTATTTGTTCTGGTAGTAATTTATAACAAATATTTTTAGGAGAAAAAAGATTTAGATTTTCTAATGATTTAAAAGCCAAGTGTCCATAATTTTCTATTAAGCTTAGAGTATGAATGATGCAAATTTACCTGAAAGACAAATATAATGGTTAAAAACTAATTACTAATTTTCTATTGTCTATTTTAACTTGATTTACCTCATAAAAGAAAAATTGCAGAAACATAATTTTTTAAGACATAAAGTTAATTTGTGATGAAAATAGAATGTCAGGAAGGAAGAAAACCATTAAGTGATATATCTTTATTTATACTTTGGTTTTTATTCTACCCATATTAAAACTCATTATATTATTTGAAGGATATAAATTTATAAAAATGTATGTTTTTCTCTATATAGCAGGCAAAATGCTATAAAAAAATCTTCAAAAGATCATTCAAAATTAAATTTCCTAAATTTGAGAGGAGCTAACATGAGCGTGCTATATTTAATGTTTAACCATTTGAAAGAATCTATTACCTTATTTTGAAAATTTGATGTAACTAAATAATGAAATAACATTTCTTTAGTTTGCAAAATTAAGGATCAAATTGTTACATTTTACTATCAGAAAGTTATAAAGTAAATAAACAACCAGCACAACATAAAGAAATATGACTATCATATCCTATGATATACTATAAACCAATAGAACCACACTCAAGCAATCATTTTGAATTAATGCATACTTACATGATGGGTTGTTTGGAGTTTTTCTATCAATAAACTCATTGAAATTTAAAAGAAATTCAGTGTTATTATCCGATATTTTCAGGTCATTGCAGTAATCTCTGAAAAAAAAAAACCATTTTGAGATATTAGGTATTAAAATCGAAACTTTACAGGGTAATTAAACGTAGTGAAAACTATTTTTTTAATTAGCTATAAGACTTTGCAAACCATTGAGCTTCTTGTAACTTCCATTTCCTCACTTCTATAATGGACCAACACTTTGCCAGTAAGTGGTGATTATAGACAATGTGAATTGAACATTTGGCCTTTGGACAGTAGGTGCTCAATAAATATTAGGTTTTGGTGTAGCTACTATACTATTATCATTGTATATCACAGATTTAGGAGTCTCATATAGCAATTAAAACAGAAATCTTGGAGCATGGGAGCAAGGGTTGGGAGAGCACTAGGACAAAAACCTAATGCATGCGGGGCTTAAAACCTAGATGACAAGTTGATAGGTGCAGCAAACCACCATGGCACATGTATACCAATGTAACAAACCTGCATGTTCTGCACATGTATCCCAGAACTTAAAGTAAAATTTTAAAAAACTGCATGGAGGTTCATACATACACAAACGCAATTGAGTGGATATAAAGCTAGTGAAATTTGAATAATATTAGTGGATTGTATTTATGTCAGTTTCCTGGTTGTGATACTGTTATATAAGATGTTGCCATTGGAGGAAACTGAGTAAAGGGTATATAGGTTCTGTCTGTATTATTTCTTGCAACTGCATGTGAATCTATGATTGTCTCAAAATAAAAAAATAAAAACAATAAAAAATAAAATACCCAGAAAATAAAAAAAACTCAGAAATTTTAAAGTTCATTACATGTTAACATATTTTAATAAAATATTACCATTATTTAAAAAAAGATTTTAAAAAGTGGCAGTGTTTTACATATTTGCAAATTATCTTTAATTCCTGACAAGAGAAGACAAGTATGTCTCTGCAATCAATTGCAAGATTTTGTTTTGGTACATAAAGAAAATTTGTGCTCACAGAGACGAGAGGCTTGTTTTTTTTCGGATATTGTGGCTGTTCTTTTTTTGATAACATACTCAAACTTGTTTATTTGTAATTTATTGATAGGTAGTTGTAACATGGAATCTGAAACAACATTAATAGTTTTTTTTGTCTTCTGTTACATTAAAATTCCATATTCTTTCTTACACTTTAATCTTTTAAGCATCTGTGATTTTGTAAAATCATAAACTGATTATTTACAAAATGAGTTGTGTACAACTTCCAAATAATGATATATTATACAATATTGACAAATTACACTCATTAAGTATTGGGAAGGTATCATGTACATAGTAGCGTATACAACTTTCCCAGAATTCTAATTTTTGTTTGAAAGCTCAGTTTCTGTCACTGGCAGCAAATACTCTTAGTTGTTTTCTTCGACGTAAAAAGCTCATCTGATTTATTTTTGAGAAAATATCTGCTGAGCATCCAAGTCTGAATAACAATAGTTCTGTAATTTGTTCTTTCAAGTAATGTTACATTAAAAAAATGCAGAAAGCACCTTGTTCCCTTCCTAACATAATCATACAAATTCTGTACTTTTTGAGACATCCAAGTTACTCTGGGATACAGTAGCACTTCTAGTTTTATCACCTATAATATTAAAAGACATGCACTCAAGAGGAAAACTTCAATAAAATTTATAATTCTGAAATTGGGTAGCATGATGCCTTGAGCTTTGTTCTTTTCGCTTAGGTTGTCTTGGCTATATGGGCTCTTTTTTGGCTCCATATGAAATTTAGTTTTTTCTAATTCTGTGAAAAAAGTCAATGGTAGTTTGAAGGGGATAGTACTGAATCTATAAATTACTTTGGGCAGTAAGGCAATTTTCATGATATTGATTATTCCTATCCATGAGCATGGAATGTTTTTCCATTAGCAGTGTTTTGTAGTTCTCTCTGAAGAGGTCCTTCACACACATCCCTTGTAAGTTGTATTCCTAGGTATTTTATTCTCTTTGTAGCAATTGGGAATGGGAGTTCACTCATGATTTGGCTCTCTGTTTATCTATTATTGGTGTACAGGAATGCTTGTGGCCGGGCGCCATGGCTCGTGCCTGTAATCCCAGCACCTTGGGAGACCAAGGCAGGCAGATCACGAGGTCAGGAATTCGAGGCCAGTCTGGCCAAGATAGTGAAACCTCATCTCTACTAAAAATACAAAAAATTAGCCAGGCATGGTGGTGGGCACCTATAATCTCAGCTACTCGGAAGGCTGAGGCAGATGAATCGCTTGAACCCAGAAGGTGGAGGTTGCAGTGAGCTGAGATCGCGCCATTGCACTCCAGCCTGAGAAACAAAAGCGAGACTCTGTTTAAAAAAAAAAAAAAAAAAGGAATGCTTGTGATTTTTTTTGATATTGTATCCTGAGACTTTGCTGAAGTTGCTTATCAGCTTAAGGAGATTTTGGGAAGAGACAATAGGGTTTTCTAAATATACAATCATGTCATCTGCAAACAGAGACAATTTGACTTCCTCTCTTCCTATTTGAATACCTTTATTTCTTTCTCTTGCCTGACTGCCGCGGCCAGAACTTCCAATACTATGTTGGAATAGGAGTGGTGAGAGAGTGCATCCTTGTCTTGTGCCTTTTTCAAAGGGAATGCTTCCAGCTTTTGCCCATTCAGTATGATATTGGCTGTGGGTTTGTCATAAATAGCTCTTATTATTTTGAGATATGTTCCATCAATACCTAGTTTATTATGAGTTTTTAGCAGGAAGGGGTGTTGAATTTCATTGAAGGCCTTTTCTGCACTGAATGAGGTAATCATGTTGTTTTTGTCATTGGTTCTGTTTATCTGATGGATTACAAGGCTACAGTAACCAAAATAGCATGATACTGGTACAAAAACATATAAACCACTGGAACAGAACAGAGGTCTCAGAAATAATGCCACACATCTACAACCATCTGATCTTTGACAAACCTGACAAAAACAAGCAATGGGGAAAAGATTCCCCATTTAATAAATGGTGTTGGGAAAACTGGCTAGTCACATGCAGAAAACAGAAGCTGGACCCCCTTCCCTACACTCTATACAAAAATTAACTCAAGATGGATTAAAGACTTAAATGTAAGACCTAAAACCATAAAATATATAATTTATATATATTATATATAATATATATTGCATATGTGTTATATATTTATATATATTATATATGTATAATCAAGCACATAAAGGGCTTAACATACATTAACTGAAGTAGACATTCATTGGCTTGTCCCACATGCCAAATACTCTTCCTTCTCAAGTATTTTCTCCTCCCCTAAACACGTAAGTAAATTCCAGTCTTCTAGTCAGCTGTATTGATATCATTCAGCTATAAAAAAGTACTGATACATGCTACAACATGGATGAACCTTGAAACCATCATGCTACATGAGATAAGGCAGATGCAAATGGTCACATATTATATTGTTCCATTTATAGGATGTGTCTAGAACAAGCATATAGCTGTAAGAGACAGAAAATAGATTAGTGGTTGCGTGGGTCTGGGGAGGGTTGGAGGAAGGGTGGGTAGGTAACAGTTAAGGTCAGAGAATTAATTTCTCTTTATAATGATGAAAATGTTCTAAAATTAACTCTAGTCATAGTTGTACATATATGTAAATATATTTTAAAACTTTGAATTGTTGAAAAAATGTGAAATGTGACACTGACTACAGAAATTGTTCCTACACTAATACCTGCTGGATTAAACAAAATCCATTGCCTATGAATTAGGAATTAGAATTGAATACTTTCTTTATTTATCTGGATTCTACCCTAGTTTCCACCTTGTCTTATAGTGAAGCTGAGAAAACCAACGTGCATAATCTGTTACTTAATAACTGGGAGAGACAAGGGAAGAAACTGTAGAGAACAATACAGACCTGAGATGGAGAGTCTTGCCAACATAGCAGGCCTAATTCAATTCCTTCTTACATTTTTTGTTATGTTAATATTCTGCGGGACCTGGTTTTTTTCCTAGCTAATGTTCTCCTTAATACTGAGAAAATTCTTTCTAGTTAAAGTGGGTTAAAGTTGCTCTCAGTAATTCAAAGTAACTTGAAATTAATTAAGTGACTTGCGTTCAAAAACTACTAATAAGATTGCAGGAATTATTAGTGATATAATTTTTAAGAATATTCTTTATATGTTTACAGATTCTCCAGTCACTAGGTATTTATACAGCACCTACTGTGTGCCAGCAATGGATTCAATATGGGGTACTGAATGTTAAGTCAAATAGATAGTCATGGTCTGTTGAGGAAAGTAAATAAAATGTGGCCAGTGCTCCCCAAGAGAAATTGAGAATTCTATGAAGCAGGAAGGATGCGTACACCAGTGAGGAAAGGAAAGAAATCCCCACATCAAGGAACTTTTAAGTTTGGATTTCGGAGGGAGTGGGATGCATATGTGTGTAGCCCAAAAGGGAAGAAAGAAGGTAAAACCAAAACCAAGCAAAAAAAAAAAAAAAAAAAAAAAAAAAAAAAAAAAAAAAAAAAAAAAAGAAAAAAAAAGAAAAAAAAAGAAAGAAAGAAAAGAAAAGAAAAGAAAACAAAACAGTGCATTAACAGTGCATTTAGGAACTGAAAGAGGTTAGTATGGCTGAAGTTTAGAGTAGGGGTAGGGAAACTTTCCCTGACAGGGCCATGGAGCAAGTGATTTAGGCTTTTGTGGCCCATAAAGTCTATGCCACAACTACTTAATCCTGTATTTGTAGAGAAAGCAACCAAAGACATCCCAGAAACAAATAAGCATCACTGTGCTCCAATGAAACTTTACATTTAAAATTGATAGCTGATCTACAGGATGTAGATGGTCCCCAGTTTAGAGTGTGAGGGACCACACTGGTACACCAGGACTTGGTGGAAGAGCATTTGAAAGCTATAATATAAAGCACAGATAATCATAAAGATAATATAGAACCACTGGCCTGTATTTAGAAGATGAGAAAAATGATTTTTCTTTTCACATTTTAGAAACTCTCTCTGGTTACAGAACAGAGACAGCATTAAGAAATATGGGGTAAATATGAAAGTAGGGAGATCAAGTAAGAGGCAAATGTAGTAGTTTAGATGAGAGAAGGCAGAGGCCTGGATTAGGGCAGAGGCAGCTGAGATTAACAGATATACTTGATACTCATAAGACAGAATGGGCAAGACGTGGTGATTGATTAGAAGTGAGACACAAGAGAAAGGAAGCAGGGAAGGACAACTAACAGGTTTCAAGATTGCTCATTTGGGAGGATAGCATTTTCTCCACTGAGGCAATAGAGGTAGAACTTTCCAAAGGAAACAATTATTTATAAGATGCTAAATCTGAAGCACATTGAAGAGATATTCTTGTCTGGTTTCCATGAGATATGAATGTCTCATGTTGAAATATATAAAGTCTGAAAATAGATACAATATAGGATTCAATAACTTAATGAAATATTAATGAAACACATATGTCTTTGTCTCTAGATGTTTACGGCCATCATACAGCTTTGGGAGTTATGAACCTAACCTGTAGGCAGGGAACAGATGGGTGGCTTGTGGTCTGAATGCAGTCTCAGATAAAAAGGGAGCCTGGGCTAGCACCCTTTGCAGCCCTCTCATATGAGTGATCAGCAGAAGAAATGAAACCCATGAAAGAGACAGTGAATATGCATCCGGAGAGGGAGTAAGAAAATCAGAATAGTGTGTCATCAAGCAAGAGAAAGCATGGAGTGTCAAAGGTCATCGCAATCACCAGTGTCACACACTAAAGGACATTCAAGCAAGATAAGTTTCTCAAGGATAGGGGCACTTACGAAGCCAAGAATATGCTTTGTTAACACAGATTTCTCAAAAAACCTATATTCCCTATGTTAAAGTAGAAACAGAATCCAGAAATATCCTTTTGCAGGAATTAAAAGGTAACTCAGAACAATTTATATGCATCTTTGGGTTTTTGGAGTAATTTAAGAAAAGTGAAAAATTAATAATCCAAGCTTCTATGTAAATTGTTCCCAGATTAATGGAAATTATATTTGAATATTATATGTGTCTGTCATGGAGTAGGAGTCAAAAACTGAGGAAAGAAAGTAAAATAAAGAACATCCTTCGATTATTGAATAGTTTCAAATAATTACAGAAAATTGAGATGGGGAAAAAGATGTACATGTGTGATAAAGAAGGGGGATTATATGAGAGAGAAGTAAACTTAGATAGGAAGAAATGAGGTGCATCTAAAAAACTATGTAAAGCAATGCCACTGTAAACAATTTCTCCCAGACAGTTGAATTAGACCATTAAAAAAAATCCATTATGTTCATTCTATCCATACGTGTAAAGATACACATAAATATTGGTACATATATGTGTATTTATATATATATATATTTATGTGTGTGTGTGTGTGTGTATATATTCACGGTTGCAAAGACACAATTTTCTATTATTGTTGGATGCACTGGTTGTTCTACAAGAGCAAAGCCTATATCCATCTTATTCCCATTGTATCCCAGAGTCTACATTGCTTAGTAATTGCCTTTTTTTTTTTTTGAGATGGAGTCTTGCTCTGTTGCCAGGCAAGAGTGCAGTGGCATGATCTCGGCTCACTGCAACCTCCGCCTCCTGGGTTCAAGTCATTCTCCTGCCTCAGCCTCCCAAGTAGCTGGGACTACAGGCATGTGCCACCATGCCCAGCTAATTTTTGTATTTTCAGTGGAGATGGGGCTTCGCCATGTTGGCCAGATGGTCTTGATCTTTTGACCTTGTGAACCACCAGCCTCGGCCTCCCGTATTTGAATGAGTAAAGAAATGAATAAATAAGATTTCGTTTCAGTTTTAAAGTAATTATTTCCTTTGATTCCATAATGTGATATGGAATTAATCCAGAGCAGTCTTGACCCAATTCTGAACTACTGCTGAAGGCCTAGCTACTGATACAAGATGTATCAAAAATACAACAAAACCAACCTTGGTGCTATGAATGTATAGCCAGATTCTTCAAAATTATCTGGCTTCAGGGTTTCCGAATCTGCAAAGACAATGTTACAGGATTAGATAGGTAATTCAGAGTATATATCCAGAGATTCTATAATAATAATAAGGCATGAGAAAGATTATCTAATAAGAAAAATTGAAAATAGAGTACTTACATCCTAAAATTGAAACATATCAATGAATATAAATGTCCTCAATGCTTCCCAATATAACATTATAATATAGATTAATTTCATAACATGGATCCCCACAGTTATTTTAAAGATAATACTATGTTTATAATTTTCTGATCTAACCCTACTATAACCAAATATCTTTTAAAAAGTGATTGATGTGAATGTTATGCCAGAGGTATTTTAAAGACCAATTATTTATATAAACAGTTTACCAATATTATGATACAGAAAACAATGTTAAAAAAACTCATTAATGCCTTTAGTGAATTATTAACATTCCTCATATTAGGTATGAATTAGTAAGTGGAAGGCTACAAAACAAAACTCCTTAAGTCCAAGAAAAAACTTGAGTGTGAACCAGGTTGCATATGAAAATACAGCATATTCTTTCTACCACTTTTTTGCTGCTAAATTTTGAGTGATCATGAAGGAAAATTTAGTAAATGAGAAGCACAGAGGATAATATCCAATAGGAAGGAAAATATCAGTGGAAATGTCAAGTGTACTAAACAGAAAGAAATTGAGCAACAAGAAAATACTTGCCCTTCATTTTGCCCTTTTTTGCTGTGAAAATCCATCAGAAAGAGAAAGCAGGGAAACAAAAAAAAAAAAGAGGGTAAAGCAAAGGGGGTCACAAACAATATTTTATTCAATGACTTTCTTGAATAAAAATATTGTGCATAGATCAAAGGTTCATTTATGTACAGCTGTAGTCTGGGGGAAAAAAGACATATTTTGAAGACTGGATAGTATGTCCTGTCAATTATTACTAGATTACCCTCTCTGTACTGTGGTTATTTCAAGGGTCTGTTTTGCAAAGTGATTAATGCAGGTGTAATACCAATGACGGCAGGCTATAAACATAATATAAACATAAGCATTTACCAATAAAAAACTCACTAGTTATCCCCTTATTTATCAATTGAAGAACTAGCTCATGCAGAATTGCTGGTTGTGAAAAGACCATCATATCTATCAATCAAGTGAAAGTGGAAATATAAATGTACTATGTATAATACACTATGAACACCAGGCCTGCTGAGGGCAAAAAAGAACTGACAGAGAAATGAAAGAAACTGCAGCTTACTTTAAGATCAGATGTAAAACATGTATGTTATATTTTTGGTATTGTTTTGTTTTTTACTTCATCCTCACAGAAAAATTTAAGGTTGTTAGCAATAATTGGCAATGTGCAAAGGATATGATGGTCATTTTACTTTACAAAATCTAGTCACCCAAAACAAAATAAACAATAACTTGAAGTATGCACTAGTATTAATTACTCTACATTCCAAATGAGGCTTAAAATAATTAATCCATTTGCATTACTGAGACATTAATTTGGATTACAAAAAGAAAGTTAATTGCCAAACCAAAGCCAAAGACCAGTGCAATTTAATTTATTCAAAGTAGAAGAAGTAGAAGATGTGAAGCACAATATTATTCTGGCCAAATGCAAAATAAATAAATAAATAAATAAATAACCAGAAAGAAATAAAAGGAAAGAAAAGGAAAAGCTTTACTAGCACAGTGCCATGAGAGTAGAGACTATGTTGATAAGTAGCATGTGAAACATTTTGCTCCAGCTAGCAGACCCTTAAAACGACAGCAACAGGACACAGCACTGCAATGATTCTATGAGCACATAGCAAGGCAGGGAAGGGCGGTGGGGACTGCCAGTGAGACTGGAGTACCTGCTCATATTCTATCCATGTAGAATATTTCTTGTTCCTTGCATGTTTGGAATGGGTTAGAATCATTGCTGTAGATTTGGTAATAACACCTACTAAAATATTTAATAAGCCTTGGGTATTCCAAAATCTAGACGTATTTAAACATCTGGTACTAGGAGATAACAAATGGACCCTGAAGTCACTTTCACAGTACTTACATCTGGCCTGAGTTATTGTCTCTTCTAGTTTGGCTTTTATATAGTAAAAACTGTAGGTTGGTAATACCAAGGCCAAACTGCAATAGAAACAAGAGAAGCATAAACACAAACAAACAAAAATGAAACATAACTTAAAAAAAAAGACACATCAAGTTCATGGGAAAATCGAAAGATCTTCCTCATGGGAAGGAAAAAGACATATTATTTTCACAAGAAAATGCATTCAGCAAATACAGTACTTAATTTTGGTCTTGCCATCCAGAGTCATCTAGCTGTCTACATTGTAGGAAATCAGAAGAGACAAGTGGAAAATAAGCTCCTGAATGAACCCACAAATGAGGCAAGGAAGGAATGTCATGTCCCCCTACTATACTTCCAGAAAATTATATTAAAGTACTTTGAATTTTAACAAAAAATTGAAGAACATTAGGGGTATGTTTAAACAAACTAAATATATAATACCATTTAGATACACTTCCTTAATGTATTATATATCATGTTAAAGTGCTTTCTATAAAATGGACATGCTATTAAAACACAAACAGAAGAGTTACTATTATTACCTTGTTTTTTTCTTTTCTTTTTGCTTTTTTTTTTTTTTTTTTTTTTTTTTTTTGGAGACAAGGTCTCACACGCTATCCCCCAGGCTGAAGTGCAGTGGTTTCATGGTTTCAATCATGGCTCATTGCAGCCTCAATCCCCTGGGCTCGATCAATCCTCCCACCTCAGCCCCCGAAGTAGCTGGGACCATAGTCACATGCCACCACACCCAGCTAATGTTTGTATTTTAGTAGAGACAGGGTTTACACTATGTTGCCCAGGCAATCTGCCTGCCTCAGACTCCCAAAGTGTTGGGGTTACAGGCATGAGCCACCACACCTGGCCATTATCATTACTATTGAACAATGCATGAAGTCATCTAAAATATATTCTTTTGAGGGATAAATACCCACTATTTTAAACTCTAATCCTTGGACAAGTTCTCTAGTGTCTACTCATAGGCAAATTCAGATTCCTTTACTGCACTAATAGAAATTGTCTGCTCAGCTCATTAGTTCATACCCAACAGTAAAACTAAGTCACAGTATTTATTTCAAGTTTATTTACTGTGGCTATTCCACATTATTTGGAAGTTTGTTATTAGGTGCAACAGGAACTGTATCTTGAGTTTGGTAGTTAACAAGAGCCATGGCGCTACTCTAGTCTTATGGTGAATGTCCAAAGCAGAGGAGAGTTCCAGTGAAAATCTTAGACCAAATTCAGAATGTTTTAGATACAAAGAATGTCACACAAGCCGGCCATCAAAACTTGTCTTAATGACTGCCCAAAATAAAAAGCTGTTAGGCAGGTATCTTACTTATTTTGAAATTGCCAATTAATAATAAAATAATAAAATACATATCAGAATTGTTAAAGGATTTCAGAATTTTATGCACTTTCCAGTAATACAGCTGCATATGTGTAATTCTCCTACTCTCACGCTAATACTCAAATGTAGGACATAACTATTCCATATCCACATGTGCTACGGAGCCACATGATCTTTGCTATGCTTTGAATATAGAAGGAAACTTGTGAACAGTGGGTTTATGATACCTTTAAAATGCCCAATCTAACTACTTTCCAAAAGCAATACTTGTTTAATGTAACCCACTTGGTCACCTTTGGCATCCACTTTTAATAGCTAGCCCAAATTTTAGTGATGTGCAGGGAAAGGTGTGCATATCTAGGCTTTTGAGTATTTCTAGACATGTGTAGATCCTTTAATTAATTAATTTTTAATAATTTCAACTTTTAGATTTAGGGATGTGTAGATCTTTTGAATCACTTAAGCCTCACGTAGCCCCAGTTTTGGGAATGGCTATCCCAATGTCATTATGTATTTTTATAGACAATATAGAATAGGGAAAACCATGAAATTTCAAAATTTCATTCTTATCACTCTAAATAATAAAATTTCACTCTATGAAAAGAAAAAAAAAACCAAGGGTTTATTTACTACAATTTAATGATATAATAAAGATAGCAAATTGAATGGATGCTTGTTACCTCCAATTCCCAAACCTTTCCCTGTCATTAAGTAATTCACAGACGTTACTTATGGGAAAAGGTCAGGTAAATAAAATGTTACGTAGATTTAATGAAAATTTCTATATTCACTTTATAGGTAACTTCCTTTAAGTGCAGGCAGAGATTAAAATTAAAATAAGTAGTGCAATCACTCTGACAGCAAGATGACCTTTCCTGATTCACTTGCCATTTACAAAATGTACAGCAGAATTACTGAGCACTGAAGATTGTCTCCTACAAATTCTTCTCAAGGGAAATTAGGACATTTTTATTGTCCCATCAGCATTTATTGCTAAGAGAAACTTCTAATTAAAACCGATAACGTTATATCATACAACTGCTAAAGTGTCACTCTACAAGCTTGGGTTACATCTAATATACCATAAATATAGTGTGGAAACCCATGAGGAAGAAAATAGAAGTCTTAACATTGGCATATCTACTATGTGTTTTGTTGGCCTATAAGTCTTTGGTTGTTATTAATAGCTATAATCCGTTCTATAGAAAAACATAGTTATACTTAATTATGTCCATCTCAAGCCAAGTTAATTTTTCAACAGATAGCCAGATAAGATCTTTATCAACATTCCTAGTCAATGGTGCTGTCATATACAATGTTTGCTGTCTCTGTCCCTACAAAACCGATAGACCAAGACTTCTTTATTTCCTTCTAGAGATTAAAGTTTAATAAAGCAAGTGGCCACCAGATGAATGGTATAGCCCAGGCACTGTTTTGTGACTGACAGAAACATGGTTAATGGAGTTAAGTGGACTATAACACACTTATCAACTCATTTATCTCCATAAAAGTAAATTATTCTCTAAAAAAGAGAAAGCATCCTATTAAAATAATTGATTACATTTCAAAATACGGTACTTGGATCAAGACTTAAGGAGAGAGAAATCACCAGATGAAAATTTTGTATCTCATTCATGAAATCAAAACATATCATGTTTTTTCCTTCAACTCAGATGCAATATTTTGTTCTAAATCACTGTTTGTGAATTTGTACAGTGATTCAGAAAAGTATTTCCAATGGAAATAGATTTAATCTGGCCCAAAGTTGAAGACTTGGAAAGCGAATGTGTGAGGAAAACATGCAAAGGTGGGAAAGTTGGGGCCTTGTCAGAAAACAGTTGTATGTATAGTGGTGGAAGTGGCTGAAATGACAGGACAGATACATTGGGCTAGAAGTGTGTGAAGGGACTATCAGACTTGGAAGTTCAAATTAAACTTCAATGAAAATGGAAGGAGATGAAAGTTTTGTCAACAAGGAGTGATATGAACTTGAGAAAAGAACATTAACCTGCCCGCACTGTGTATTATCACTCGGTGTATGAGGAAAAGAGGTTGAGTGTAGAGACCTTTCACGAGACACATAAAACACCCCAAACGTGTCCTTATAACTGTGGGAGAGCCAGCTATCACATTGTAAGGGTCAAAAGAATCCAGTTTTTCTCAGAATTAGTTCGTCTAAGCAACAAAGGCACAGAACACATTCTCATACAATTACTTGATACTCTGTTTTATCATAAAATCATCTCTCAAGAGACAGATCTTCAAGACTTCCTCTCTTTTTGCACCTTTTGACAAGTTAATCTAAAAATTGAAAGGTTGCAATAATCAAGGAAGGGGGAAGAAAAAGAGTAACTTGTGTATACACATGAAGATTATACATGTATAAAGAAATGCCTAGAAATTAGAGATAGGAATCAGTTGATGGAAAAAAGTAAAATAATTAAAACAGCCATTCTGGTGTTTTGCAATATGCTCTTTTCTTCTACGTCTATTCTACATGCAATCCTAGGAATACTAAAGGAGACAGGTTCCTATGATAATAACATAGGCTCCCATAAAAGGTTATGTGTATGTTCTGGGGACTTGGTTTGATTTTTATTAGGAGAGAAATTGTTGAGTCCATTACAGCCTACGTATTAATTGTATATTAATATGTAGTTAAAGAGACTTCTGTACTTAAATATTGCAATGGAATTTCAGTACACCATTATATAAATTTGAAAGGATGAGACAGATCAAAAATTTCTTCAATTGGAAAATTCTTCCATTTCTCAAAATTGAAATTCTTCAATTCTGTAAATATTTGTAGAGTGCCAACTATGTGCCACTGTCATACAAGCTGATGATTCAGAAGTAAATAAAGCAGGGAACAATCCCTGCCATCTTGGAACTTACTAGTGAGAGAACAGATGATAATCAGTAGAAATAAGTTTATATATGCTTCGTGTGTGTGTGCGTGATGTTAAATGTCAATAAGGGTTATGGAGAATATGAAGTGCAAGAGGGAGATAGAGTGTGGAGAAGCATTATACATTTTAAATAAGATTGTTGGAGAAGGCCTTTCTGAAGAGATGAAAAGTAAGTAAAGATGGGAAGATGAGGGAATGAGCATGTGACTGTTTGGGAAAAGTAATTCCAGGCAGAAGTAATTTCATATACAAAAGTTCTGAGGCAGATGGGTGCCAGTGTTTATGTTGTTTTGTAAAAAGGACAATGTGACTTAACCAGGTACTGTTCAGTGGAGAATGTGGAAGATAAATTCACAGAGCTGATGGTGAGTGAGGTCAAATGGTTTAAGCCACTGATGACCTTGCCAGACTTCAGGTGTCAGACTGAATGAGATAGCAGATTTACTGGTGAGAGTTGAGTAGAGAAATGAAACAGTCTACTCAAGGGTTAAGAACCTTCTTGTGATTGTGTTGAGAACAGAAATAAAGATAGAAGATGGAGACACAGATGCAAGTAGTTATTACTCTAATAGTGAGAGTTCTTTCTGACCACTTCTATTTTACTCTGAAATGGAAAGCAAATTCATCACCTGAGCAAAAATGATGAAAATGTACTACAGGTTTGGAGAGTGACGTGATCAAGAGTCATCTACGAGCATCCTAAAATTACAGGATTATGGAGACTGCCAGCCATCAGTAAGGCCCACTTCAGGTTAGAGGTCATGAATTTTAGGTGATATATCAGCTAGTGAGTATTTTACTTCAGCCACTTTTAGCTGTATGGGTACAGTGTGGTGTGGCTAATAATTTGAATGTAACCAGGACTAGTATTTTGCCAAATTGCTGTTTGCCAAACTCAACTATGATGAAAGGAGTTGGTGGTGTGCGCAAGACAGTGAAAGACCCAAGGAATTTCTGCTAAATAAAAAAGGGCACAAGGACACGAAGAGGGCAAGGCAGCAAAAAGGAAAAAGGGATTGATGGATTTCATGTCTTGAGTCAAGGATTACTGCTAGTAGCAGGACAAGATGGAAAGTTAAAATGTGGTAACCTGAGAATTGGATGAAAAATTCTCGTGTAAAGACTATGAAGGCATTGCAGACTTGACACTGTAAGAGCTGCAAAATATGATTTTGGAGTCAGTGGCTAAGGTAGGCGGATGACAAGATCATTAGAGGAGAGGAGGCCAAAAGTAAGAGAGCCCAGGTAGTAGAAACATCATCTATGTCAATGCTACTTAAAGTGTTTTCCATGGACCTAGCCAATTTACAAACTGTCTATTACCAGCCCATGATAGCAAAATACAGAAATTGGGAGGAAGTATTCAGAAAATTTTATAGCAATCTAACAGACTAATTTTATATCTGTGAAATCTAATAGTAAAAATTTTGAGCTTATGTTTTTTCCTTTTAAAGTTTATTTTATTAAACAATTTTTATTTTTCTTTACACCAGTGTAGGTATGGCATCATTTGAAAAACAGTGAAATATGTGAATGTAGGAGAGTGACAATGAGCCAGGAGCTGAAATCTTTATAGGAATCCATACACTTACAATTTTGATTGTTAAGGAGGAGGAATAGTAGTTGGTGTGGTATGGTGGCATGAGATTCAAAGATGAAAATTTTAGAAAGGAAAAAAAAATAATAATGAGTAATGAGGACACACTCATATCACCCTCAGTATTCTGAAGACTTCAGAGGAATTAGTGAGCTCAGAGGAGAGTTACAGCAAGAAAGTGAAGGAAGTGTTGAGCAAGTGTTAAAGAATGGAGAATTACCAATAGATTACTAACTTTTAGGCTGTCCAACTTTCCAAAGCCCAGCCAATAAGAGGAATCGGAATATTGTAGAACTGATACTCATGGAGGTAAATTATATCAACTAAACATTTTATATCAGATACTACAATGATGAGATAAGCTTTATATTTGAGGTTAGTTTTCAACTCTAATGTATGTAATGTAAACTAAACAACAACTAAAAGAGGAAGTCAGTGGAGTGAACCCTACATATCATTATGGGTATTTGTCAACATTTCTCAAGTAAAAATACAAAATATATAGATTTATATCACATACATTTTCATTTGTAAATTTTGTATTACTAGATTTTTTCCATCTTTTCCATTTTAAAAATTAGTCTATAAGTTTACTATGTTTTCATTTTGGGAACTCTTCTATTGAAAATCACATGAAAATTCACTTATGAAAATGCAGACTTAATATTAATCCATTGGAATACACAATACACATAGAATGCAGTTAATTACCTGTAATCTGTGCCATTGACAGGTGTCCATGTGTATGTCCTGTTTCCTTTGTCAATATATCTCTAGAAAGAAGTTTGACGTGGTTATTATCATGGTTATTATCACTACATTTTGTATGAATATATATGAAAAGTAAAGCAGTAGAATTTACTTATAAATTCTGCAGTCATTTAATACTCATCTTTACAAAGGTATGATCTATTTTATTCTACGTTTATTTATTCTATGTGTGTCTAGCAAAATTTTTGACAGAAATAAATATAAGTGCAAAATCATAATAGTTTATGCCAAATTATCTTCAAAACATTGAAAACAGTATTTCCTGAAAAATAAATTTTAATAATGAAACAGGACTATGAAGTATTTAGACAAGGCTCAGATATGTCCATACTAAAGTATGTTTAAGAGTAACAGGCAACATTAGGACATTAACGCAGTGTGTCTAGATCCAAATGTGTGATTAGCATATGACTGTTTTTATGAAGCCACTATTATAGCATTATTATGGTATCATAAGAGGCTATTCAGTATCACTGAAGGTTAGGAAAACACCTAAATCCACCAGGGAAAGAAAATACAGAGCTAAAGAAGTTCATGCATGGCTATATCTTTTCTACATGCACTTTTCCATTAGGTATAGCGATGACATATATGTAATTTTTAATTTGCTTAGTTAGTTTTGAGTTTCATCATTCTCACTAAAACAGTAATATGTACTGAAGTATTTCTTGGTATAAGGCACCATGCTAAGCACCTTAAAGTCATTCTGTCACTTGATCCAACCCCTGGAGTATATACTTTTATATCCCGCAATTTATTGATAAAGAAATAAGTGTTAAAGAGGAGGTAAGGTACTTAAGTTGGCAAAATGTATAATGCCAAATTCATGTTTATAACAACTACACAATGTATGTGTGTGTGTGTGTCTGTGTGTGAGCATGTGTGGGTGTATGTGTAGCAGATGGGGGGAGGGGGAACAGGGTTGGTGAAGAGGGCTTAGTATTCTTAAAAGAATTAGAAGAAACAATGCTTATATATTTGTTACTACTCATATACGCATAAACAAACAGGGCAAGCAAGTGTTGGTCCGCAAGTTATAAATAAAATACGGTATCAGAAAATAGTATCAGAGCAGAGAAATAAAAATACAAGTATTTTCAATATCAGTAGCAGAAATTATAATCTGGTTCAGTCTTCAATTTGTAATGAAATAATCATTACAAATCATTGAAACAGACAACTTTAAACATTATTACTATCTAATTTTTTAGTCAAGAAATCTATTTTTCAACTGCTTTCAAAGTTTGGAAATATTCTCAGATTAGCCTCTTAAGGAAGTCGTTATTCAGTAAGTTTATCCTTACTAAATTCTGCCATCTTTCAGTAAATTTTCTGCATGAAATAGAACAAATGCATTCTAGTTTTAGCCCAAGCATATAGTTATAAAGGACTGTTGATGGAATATGTGTAATAAATACAAACTATTTTCAGATTCCAACAAAACAGAATCACTTGGGCATAAATTAAATTGAAAAGCTCTAATTCTATTTTAAACTTATTTCAGTAGTAACACTAAAATCCATAAAAATACAGTATCATAAGGGTTAGCATATATGTATTAAACATTTGATTATTCATATAATTTCTCATTTATTCCATACACTTACAATTTTTATAGAGTAGTAAGACTCATGAAAGACATGACTATGAAAAAAATGTTTACAAATTAATTTCAGACAGGTTTTGGTGAAAAATATTCAATAAATCAGGTGTAAAGAGAGGTTCTGTGGGAAACATTTCCTAGGTGAGGAATTTCAAATTACTTCCAACTCATTATGCCAAACATTGTGAAATGTGCTAACACTGGAGATTCCCAGCTCATCAATACGGAAAATGGTACAAGAAAGGTTATATAATTCCTACAACAACCACAAAAATGAACTTCAAAGTTAATAACTAACCTAAGCCTGTGGAATTCAGCTACTTTGGCTAAACCGCATGACACTATAATGTGAAGGTTACTATCACATCCTAAATATCTCTGCCAAATCCCTTATGTAGACCATTTAGAAAGAGCTTTTGAAAGATATCACCTAAAAATTAGAGTAATAGGTATGCACAGAGTTGTAATTGTTTTGATTGTCTATAAAATAGTGAATAGTGATAAAAATTATAGTCACTCAGAGTAAATAATAACTTTTCTTGAAATACCAACATACATAGAAATCTGGAGTACAAGGCAACATAGGAATTGAAGATTAGCAGTTATATCTATCTACAATAGTGTGTTCATGAGAGACATTTTAAAATTCTAACATAGGAAAACATAGTCTTTAGCTGAATATTTGTCAAAAAAAGTAATTTGCAGTAAATTGAAGGGGAAAAATACCAATGGAAGTTAACAGAAAATTACTTTGTAAGCTGAAAAAAGAATGTGCAAAAGTCTAACTAAATAGATTTGAAATTGCAACAAAGACTGAAATGTAAATATACCTCCCTTTGTGTTCTGTAATACGGACTCATAATGATATTAAAATGAGAAAGGCCATGTGCTAATGAAGGATCATATTCAGATCCTAGCTCACCTTCCACCTAGGGAAGGATCTGATGAGGAATTTCAGAGAAATGTCATCCATCTGAAAAGGATGAGATTGTGAGGAAAAGGATATAGGTTATACATAAAAGCTTAAATTACATTTCCAGGCTCAAAAGCTTCTGAGACCTATATTTTTCAAATACTCAAATGTATAAATGTCTGTCTGTACTCCACATCTGACTGATAATAGACATACTCCAATATGATAATAGACATAAACCAATTATTTGTGGGGGTAGTTGTGTTATCACAGGATTTAATTTCAGATGTAAGTGCTGGGAAATTTTAAAGTGTGTAACTAGTAAATGAAGATAAATCAAGCCAGAAACAAGTAAACAAAAAGCTAAAAATACAAAATAATTAATATATGGAACTCAATAATTAGAACATCCACCTAGACAAATCATATAAAACACATAGCTATTAAATATTAACTTCAATTTTGCAACATTGGCATGGTGTAAAACAACATGGCAAAATTATATTGTGCATTCTATTTCTCATAAAGTATATGTAAAATATAATTTCAAGAATATACTGTTAATGTATAAGAAAACATCAAGAAACCTAAAGCAATAGTGTTTTATAAAAAGAAAAAAGAGTTAAAAATATATCTTAATGAAAATATCCCTCCAGTTAAGAAGTGCTTTAAAAAAGAAAAATTGTTTCCTAGAGGTATCCGTTTTATAATAGTGGATTAATAGAAAAAAGGACAAATTACCAATATCAAATTTTCTTGATATAATTTTTATTTAAGAATAAGCTAGAATCAATTCTTACCTCATCTTGAGATTTAACCAGAGTTCTGAATGTTTTTTCTCCACTTTCCCCATCAATCATCTTATTTCGAATCTAAGAGTAAATGAAACAACTACTTTATTCTAGAAACAAAGCTGACCTGCCAAAGTATGACTGTTAACATGGTAGTTTTTTAAGTTCTTTACTTCATGTAGAACAAATAAAATAAAAATAGGGAGTTAGTTTTACCAGTATCTGCAGTTGTTCTCTGGGAATTTTTTTAAGTTACCATATTATAGTCATTTTACACTGTTTTAAAATTTAAATAAAACATCCTTCATGAAATATTTTCAATCTGTTGGTAGTTTTTGAAACATAATTAATAAAATGAATGGTCAATTATGTTACGGCTGGCCACAGTGGAGTGGAAAGTAGTCACTGAGACATAGAAATGTATATATACAAAATTACATATAACACAGAATGCTTTAAATTTCTGCCTTACACAATCAGTTTCATGTGAGAAGAGATGTTTTAAGAGGACTCTTTATACTTTTTTGTTAGTAATTCTTATATCTGGAGTACAAAAAAATCTAAATAAAGGATAGAGAAAACTATAAACACCTATTTGGATTTCAGATAAGAGAGTTGAGTCTCCTTCAGTAGAATACTCCAAATCCTTAAAAATGCAAGGTTGGCCAGGTGCGGTGGCTCACTCCTGTAATCCCAGCACTTTGGGAGGCCGAGTCAGGCAAATTGCCTGAGGTTGAGAGTTCAAGACCAGCCTGGCCAGCATGATGAAACCCCATTTCTACTAAAAATACAAAAATTAGCCAGGCATGGTGGCAGGCGTCTGTAATCCCAGCTACTCAGGAAGCTGAGGCAGGAGAATGGCGTGAACCCAGGAGGTGGACGTTGCAGTGAGCCAAGATTGCGCCATTGCACTCCAGCCTAGGTGACAGAGCAAGACTCTGTCTCAAAAAAAAAAAAAAAGTGCAAGGTCACATTATCCACTAAATATTCCAGTCTACTGGCAATTCTCAGAAGTTTCCTCAACTTATTTTTTATAACTCAACCAGTGATTTACATTTGGCTTCAGGCAACTGCAAATAATAAGTAAACAAACTTGGTGTGATTAAAGGAATAATCTGAAGAATATACGAATGTGTGATGTATCTAATTTCAAATAATTGGGTCTGAAAGGAAGGAGTAGATAACAGCTTCTAATGTAAGTTGAGTGTGCACTTATGAAAAGCTCAAAAATAATAAAGACTTTACCATGAATCAGGTCTTTTGCTAAGTCCTTTCTATATATTTTTTCATTTGATGACTATTACTAATTGATTTAGAAGAAACTGAGGCTTGGAGAATATAAATAAGATCATTTTGGTCACTCAGTAGAGTGACAGCCCAGACACCAAGCTTATCCCTATTACTTTATCCTACTTTATTATGTCTAGTACTTTACAACAAACATTATTAATCACCTAAACACCCTAACACGAGGCCACAGTCTAGGATAATTAAAGTAAATTAAATTCTATTGTTCTACAATTAAAATACACTATAACAAGTTATAAAAGAAATATGATGGCCTTTGCAAAGGAGTTAATCCATCTGGAAAAATCCTAAAAATCTGTAATCTGGAATGCAAGAGCCAAGTTCTGCTACTTATTAGCTGAAGAACTGTAGAGAAACTATTTAACTTCTCTGTACCTCAAATGTAACATCAGTACAACAGATATTATAGTGTGAAACAATAATAGCAACACCAATTTCCAAGTCTCTTGAGAATCCATGACTAACATATATCATATACTTAATGTTATTTATTATTTATTTTATTTTTCTTATTAATACTCTCATTATTATGGAAGACTCTCTCAGAGGAGGAAATAATGCAATTTTGCTTTTGAAATAAAATACATTGCTGAGTAAAATGTATTAAGGCAAACATGGCAGCTTCTCTCACACTACTCCTTATGTGTTTGAGTGGTTGGATTCCTTCCAAGTCTTTTTTCAATACTATAGCAACATCCTCCAGCTCTATGAGTTTTACTGACGTTTACAAGATAAATTTGTATTAGAAAAGTGAAAATATGTCTACCTTTAGAAAGAGAAAGAACACTAAGGTCAAATCCAACTTAAACATTTATACCTTTTCATATGATCTTTTGGATAGGAAAACCCAGGATCTAGAAAATTTTAATGACACAGAACATTCATCTTTGTGTATACAGTATCTAACAGACAAGCTAACACATTGTAGCTGTTCAACAGATACTTGTAGAAGGAGTGCACAGCAACATCTGACCTGAGGAATTGTTTAGTCTTACTGATTCCACTCACCTCCACTTTAATATCATTCTCTAACTCTGCATCAAGGAAATCCAATGTTACTGGCTCCTGAGATTTGGGATTCTACACAGAAAACAATAATAATTAGGTACACATAACATTATACAATGATGCTGTGTATAAAACAATTCAATGGGTATTTATGAAATTAATTGTGCAAAAATTACTTACCTAGGATACAATAACTGTCTAAAGGTATCTTCTTTCATTCATATATATATATATAAAAAATATATATAGCTTACATATATAAAAGCTAGAGATTGAGCTTTCAGTGCAGGCAATCTTAATTAATAACCAAGTGAAGAGAGTCTCATTTTGAGTAGTGTATTTGATACTGCATGTCTAATCACAAGCTCTTTGGGCACACTACTTTTGAAGAACCATTCACAACTTTCTTTTCATTAATTAGCATGGGAAAGGGGCAAAATATAGCCATTTGGATAACTTATTTGGCCATAAAACAGTGGCAACATGTAGGCATACTTTTAAAATTTGTAAAAAAAAAAAAAAATGTGTATGATAAAATGTTTTAAAATTATGTTTACATTTGCCAAGTAAAACATTCTATTGGACCTGTTCTTCCTTCTGAAAGTGTATAAAGAAAAGGTGCAAGTGTGCTTCATATATTTCAATCTAAGAAATTTTATATTTTAATAATTCAAATGACATCAGAATGCATAAGATAAACTTGTGGTTGTCATAAAGATTTTAAGATTAGCTATTATAATTAAAGTCTTACTAAGATAATAACCCCTGGGTTCACTGAATACTATTTCCTATTGCTTCTTCTTGCTGGTATATAACAATAAATAAATAACACTGGGGAATAAGATAAAATTTTATTTATCGATATCATTATATAAAATGATACTGTTAGTCTGGCAAATTTACCTCATATTTTCTGAATTGCAAAATGAAGATTCATTGAACTATTTGATAAACAAAATACAGTTAATTCCTCTAAAACTTCCTAAGTAATGTAACATGTCATACTAAAACTTTAAAGCTTACTAGACCAATAAAATCATAATAGGTATATGTAATTTATAATTGCAAAATTTTATAAATTGAATTTTTAATTTTTACTAAAATATTACCTAAATCTGATAACTAGATACCAGTAACAAATGCAAACTATGCTGGATTAGTGCAAAGGTCATTCAAACTTTAATAATATAAGCCTCACAGGCTCTTTCAAAAGATATTCGGATCATCACTGTTTTAAGCACTGTTTAAGGAAGAAACTGACCAAGACAGTTGCAATAAGTAAAAATGTACTAAAATTAAGCATATCTTATCAAGATGCTGAATGACATAGTATACATGGAAAATATTTACTGACAAAAATGCCTTCCTTCAAAGAGTAATTCCACCTAAAGATGAAAATTTTTTATTGCTATGATTTTTGATAAATGAACATTCTTAAAGGCAAATTTTAAAAAAACAGCCATGTCTGGCACTTTAATTGAAAAAATATTCACGCTTAAGTACTCTATCACTATCATCAGAAGATTCTAGAATACTGAAAATAAGTATTAAATTTTTTCAAAGGTGAAAATGCTGACCAGTATTGGTAAGTTACTGATGACATCTCACTGCCTGAAAAGGAAATACTCATTTGAAATGTAGTGTATTTTAAAAGAAGAAAAAAAAAGCCAATGTTGAACATCCTTCTAATTTCTTTGTTTAAAAAATGAAACCTAGGAAGTCTCTAACAAAAGGATACTCTAAAGTTTACAATATTATTCAGCATTGCTCATTTAATGTCCCATGAAATAAACCGTCTTGACACAAACACCGTATCAGCATTAAAATTTTAACACACTCACTGCAAAACAAAGTCAAAATAATGAAAATAATAAAAAGTAAACAGAAATAAGAGTATTTATCTTACATGCAATGGATAATGCATAGCATGACCAGACCCAAACAGCATGCATGGAGGAGGCATTATCAGGAAGAATTGGCAATATGAAGATCATGTCCCAATCCAGCATACAAAGACACAGAGAAGAAAATGAAATCATAAAAGAAAAATCTCAATGCATAACTTGTACTTCTAAAATAGCAATCTAGCTGACCATTTTTTTAAAAGATCCATCAAGGGCATGGTGACTACAAAATTCAAAAGCATAATATTTCAATAAGAAAGCACCAAGAGAGTTTGAAGAACTGGAAAATAGTCTCGCATATCCATTATTTTTGTTTGATATTTAAAATACCTAGTATTTCTCATTTGCAAAATTTGGATATCAATGGAAATAACTACCATACCATTTGTGGAAATGGAAGAATGCAAAGTTAACAAATTTTAAATTGAAACAATTACTAGATAGTATTACAAATGATACTTAGTTCAAAAATATCCTTCAAATTGAGGAGTCTTGTGTGGTTGCTAGTTTGCCATTTAGAGTTTTCTTAGAATGAAAACAAAAATAAAACAAACCATTTTCAGGTTGTTTATTTTTTAATTATATTGTTAAGAGTTACATGCAATATTTGAGGTTGCTGCAAAAACAAAAATTCACTAAAATGCACATGACTGCAAAAGTATAAGATAATACATAAAAAGAAACATGCAAGGATAGTAACAAAATAATTTACTATATCAAGAAAGGCATAAACATAATTTTAAACTTTATAGGAATTATAAAAGATATGAAGACTTTCATATGCAACAATATGAAATTCAGTTTGTTCTAAAATTCTAGCACTGGAAGGGAGTTAAAGCTTCTCAACTAGTTCAGTGGCTCTGCACTTTAGAACTCCATGGGGAGCTTTAAAAATTTACTATTTAGAGGCCGGGCACGGTGGCTCATGCTTGTAATCCCAGCACTTTGGCAGGCCGAGGCGGGTGGATCATGAAGTCGAGAGATTGAGACCGTCCCGGACAAGGTAATGAAACCCTGTCTCTACTAAAAATACAAAAATTAGCTGGGCATGGTGGCCAGAAGCTGTAATCCCAGCTACTTGGGAGGCTGAGGCAGGAGAATCATATGAACCCGGGAGGCAGAGGTTGCAGTAAGCTGAGATCGTGCCACTGCACTCCAGCCTAGCGACACAGTGAGACCCATCTTAGAAAAAAAATTAAATAAAATAAACAAAACAAAAACGATTTAGAGGCCTGGTGCCATCACTGCCAAATTAAATCAGAATTTTCAGAGGATGAGGCAGGGAACTGACATACATATTTAATTTCCCAGGTGAATATACTGTGTAGGATGGAAACTAGTGACTAGTTCAATTCTCCTGCTTTTCAGATGAAGAAATTGAAGCACTACAGGATTTAGTGGAGTGCTCAAGAACACAGTGTTGGCTATTAGAAACAAACTAGCACTCAGTTCTACTACATCATAGCTTATCCATCTCTTCTTAATGACATATTATCTCTTCGTTTTAATGTCACCCACTTTTTTATGTATTTATTCATTTTTTTTTTTTTTTTGAGATGGGTCTCGCTCTGTCACCCAGCCCAGAGGCAGTGGCACAATCTTGGCTCACCGCAACCTCTACCTCCCGGGTCCAAGCGATTCCCTGCCTCAGCTTCTCGAGTAGCTGGGACTACTGGCATGTGCCACCATGCCTAACTAATTTCTTTTGTATTTTTTTATTTTTATGTTTTAAGTAGAGACAGGGTTTCACTATGTTGGCCAGGCTGGTCTTGAACTGCTGACCTTGTGATCCGCCCTCCTCAGCCTCCCACAGTGCTGAGATTACAGGCGTAAGCCACCGCGGTCGGCCTTAATGTCACCAACTTTTTTAAATAAATGGTAGGTTTACCTATAAAATCTTAAATAATGTTGAACATCCTTTGAAATTCTGAAATTCTCTTGCTAAGCTGTGGGAAGTATCCTTTTATGCTGATTATTAATAGTTTTACTGTGCATATAGAAATATTGCATACATATGATAACAGAAGTTTTGTTGCCAAAAGGAAAAGCTTTTGCAATGAGTTTGCCAGGTAATAAAATTCACTACTTATTTGCACTTTGGTACATTTTTAATTAGCTAAGGGAAATTTCTTTAATGTCTAACCCCAAATTACACTTTTTAGAAGTTTTGGCTTAAAATCTGTGGCTTATGGCAACTGTCACATAGGAATTGTATTTTATTTCCACTTAGAAGTAAATTTACAAGCAAATTGTTAGGATCACATGAATTTGACATTAATTTTATAATTTTAATAACAAATTTATTTTTAGAAGCCATCTCTTTATGATTTCTCTGATTATTAACCTGATTCCATAATTGACTTTGCAATCTTTAGTTAGCCAATACATACCCTCTACCACTATTAATAACATTTTTGCTCTGGTTTATTAAGAAATGATGCTCATCTCCATTTCATGCTCTGGAAGCTTGATGTCAGGAAAGGCAGCTTTAATTATATAAGCTTTAAACAGAAGCTTAATTTCAACTCGGATTTAGCAAATTTGAAAGCACTGTTAAATCTACCTTCATTCACCGTTACCTGGATATTGGGTCTCCTTTTTCTTAAATTAACTCTTGGTATACCTACACCAATAGGCTGAAGCAACAGAAAAATGGTAATTCATCATACTACATATCAACATAGGTAGGGGTTCTATCCTGTAATCAATTTTCCTCAGATATTTCCTTGATTGGAAAAAGGTCTAAATGATAGACTTAGAATTCAAAGTATTTGGTAGGTATGGAGTTCATGAGTCAATAAAATAAAAATTTAAAAATATCTTCAACGAATAAAAACTGTTACATGAATAGTCATTTTTAAGAAAAATGACTATTATTTTTCTTTTTCTGGAAAAGTACATATTTGGGATGTGGGAAAAAAGGTTGTTTGTCTCAGATTACTTTTCCATCGATTTGACCAAAAAAAGAAAAAAAAAAAGAAAAAGAAAAGTAACAATTGTTAGAATTTACACGACCCAAATATAAATACTTTTAATGTCCATCCCTCGATTTATATGTTGAAATCCTCATCCCCAGAGATGACGGTATCCAAAGGCTTTTGGGAGGTGATTAGGTCCTGGTTGGTGGGTCCCTCCTGAATGGGATTGGTGCCCTTATAAAACAGGCCCTAGAGAGAGACGTCTCACCCCTTCTCCTCCGTGTGAGGTTAGAGTGAGAAGATGGCTGTGAATAGGGAGGCAAACCCTCACAGAACACCAATCTGCCCAAGCTTTCATCTTATACTTCCCAGTCTTCAGAACTGTGAGTTACTAAATTCTGTTTATAAGCCTCCCAGTCTGTGGTATTTTGTTATAGCAGCCTGAATGAACTAAGAAAATTATATGATATTAAAAAGTTTTAATGTTTAATATTTGTGCCTTTGTTTTCTGAAGTGATACCAAATGTTCTATCTGTGGAACTAATGGAGAGTGTAACCGTAACAGTGTAGATTTATTTTAAATATTAACTTCTCAAACATAGATTATGCACAATTTCCTATACAATACATATTTCTTAGAATTGAACAAAATGAGATATCTAACTAAGTAGACCTAACCTGGTTATTTCAATGACACAAAACGGAAGAAAGTTAAAATGCTTTTTGTAATAAAGCAGAATATATAATTCAACACATGTCAAAATGTGGTCATGCTGGTAAAAGTACAAGCTTAGAAAATGTTATGAGTCCTTACAAATTAAATATGTGAAAAGTCCGTAGCTATTTTATTTAATGATATTCTGGGGGCTTTTAAAGAACACTCATCTACAAAAAAACCTTCACTGAAATATTTTTAATTAAGGTTCCCATATCAGGAGGAAAACACAGGCATTGATCAAAAAATACTTGCATAACATTAGACTTTCACCTTGTTAAATAATAATGGCTGCTATAGATAAGCATTATTTTTCTTCACTTGTATTAATGAATTTCTGATAAAATAATTAAGATTAATTTTGTTAGTATACTGTCACCATGTGTTCCTTTGTATCTGCGTATTTCTAAAGCAATTATCTTGTACTATGTCATCCTTTTATGAGGTCTTGTATCAATCTGTATAGCGTCCTCCTTTAGCCACAAAACGGAAATCATAATATTTACTGAGTTAATGATGAGAATTCACAAGCATATTTAATTCACAAGCATGAACTTCAGAAATAAAGAATAAACTGATATTCAGAATAATTTCTTTTCATGGTGTTCTGAAATAGTATTTTTGGAGATGTCTGTTACATATTAATATTTGCTTTAGTAAAATCCAAATATAAAGATATGAAAAGCTAATTTATAATATGGAAGAAAAATATCAGTTGGGCTTTAATGAAGTTGCTAAAGAATTTGTTTTCTCTGTAATATTATAAATTTTAGTGAATTATTTCAAATATGAACCAAATATAGGTTAATGTCATTCAAATAGTAATATTTTCTACATAAATATTGGTTATTAGTGGAATGTAGAAAATAAAAAAACTTCAAATTATTACTTCTCTTTGACTATGAAAACCACCTAAACTGTTACAGCCATTAGATGGTAGATTTATACATATATATCTCTCCTTCATATATGCATTATTGTCCTTATTCTTTTTGTCTACGATATATTTTAGTTCCTTTGGGGGAGGGTTAAGGTTTATAATTATAAAACTAGAGATTCTTCACACCCACCCTTCATCACATTACACTTTTTTTTTTTGAGACGGAGTTTCGCTCTTGTTGCCCAGGCTGGAGTGCAATGGAGTGATCTCGGCTCACTGCAACCTCCGCCTCCTAGGTTCAAGAGATTCCCCTGACTCAGCCTCCTGAGTAGCTGGGATTACAGGCAAGCACTGCCACGCCCGGCTAATTTTGTATTTTTAGTACAGACAGGGTTTCACTATGTTGGCCAGGCTGGTCTCGAACTCCTGCCCTCAGGTGATCCGCCTGCCTCGGCCTCCCAAAGTGCTGGGATTACAAGTGGGAGCCACCGCACCCAGCCCACGTTACACTTTTATTACTTTTGAATTACTTTAGTTAGGGGAATTTAATTGAAAATACACTGGATATACAAAGCCCAAACAATAATACTGCAAAATTATAAAAAAAAATTAAGATATAAAAAGATAAGTTTTCAAGCTATAGCAAAATCATAGGATGATTAGCCAAACATAAATTACTCTTTTAAGAGGAATTTAACAGGTTATGCTTTTAAAGAGCTGTGGTAGTTTAATAATAATATGAAAAAGTACTTATGCAACATTTATATTAAAATAACACATTTAGCATAACTAGGGTGATCAACAGCTACATGTGCTACAAATAATTATATGATGAATTTGATATGGAAATAAGTTCCAAAGTCAGATAAATTAAAGTAGACATCAGTTATAAAATGTAATATTATTTAATGTATTAAAATAGATAATTAATGTATTACATTTAATGTAGTTTTGCATTCAGTATCAATAGTTCTTTTATGGATTTGAACAATATTTAAATGACACAACTTTGTGTGTGTGTATGTTCACACACTTGTGGTATATTCTAATATATGGCTAACATTACATATCCATGACTCGGGAGAAAGAAGTAGTATGCATAAGTCTGCATGGTTTAAAGGATCTTCAATATTATCTTCAAAGTTAAGCAATAACTAAACAGATGCTTCTAAGGTTACAATTATAAGACTTTGAATAATTTTATGTCTAAATAAATTTTGCTATTAATGCCCTGTGAAGCAGTTCATGAAGAGTGAAATGAGTTGTACCAGATAATTTATGAAAATATCTTGAGAAAATAGGCATAAAAATTAGGATAATATGGTTCATCGATGGCACTTTATCTCTTTCAGATTAACTTGCTGATTAATAAATATTTCCCATTTCTGAAGCCCATCTCATGAATTTTACTTATTCAGTCTCTTACATCTCTTTACAGGCCTATCCTAAAGTAAAAGGAAAACCATTCTGGGAGACGGAAAGCAGAGTTAATTACTAGAAGAGAAGGGCAAAAGAAAATGTGACCTGGACATAGACGAACATCACTAATATTTATCAGGTTCAAACTCATGTCTGGAGCAATATCCTTTATTATCTTACAGCCTTAAAATCAAAGTCAGAAGTGGGATGCATGAAATTGAGGCTCAGTGGGTGATAATGGCTGTCTTTGAGATAAAAATATTAGTGCAGCTAAATTGGTAACAGAAAATGAAAACTGCTTTCACTCTTTGATATATTATGATGTGTTGTCTTGTCATCTAAGAAGAGAGCCACGTTACAGACTGTACTTTGATATTTAGTGTTATATAGTAAATTTTAAAACAACAATCTTATTAAGAACATTAGTCATTAATTCTACAAAACACTAACCAGTGTAAACAAATTATATACCGACCTTTGGCTGAAGATTTGGATGTAATAAAACATAACCATTAGGATCGATTGCAAAGTAATACCCATTGGGGCACAGCTGGAAAAGAAAAAATATAAGCTTAGATATGCCCGAGTCACAATTAGAAATCTATATTCTTTTAAATACATAATATATTAAATACACATTTTATAGCATGTTGAAAGATAACATGGAATCATTTTATTTTAGAGATGCTTTTAACCATGTAGTTCCTTTGCTAAGGTAACTGCCCATAATTTTTGAGAATTTCCTAAGTGCTTTGTGGCCAAGCTAAATTGGTACAGAGTTCTAAACTAGAAAGGGTATCAAAAGAGCAAATTTCATCTTACTGTAAAACGTGGTGTCAGTCTTTTAATATCTTCCAAAGACACATCTACCCCCATCACACCAAGAATCAGCTGGTTCTATAACAAGAGAGCAAAAATGGCATTTTATATCAAAAATTTACATATTTTTACACAATTATCATATGCTCATATTTTGCTGGCATTATGGTTATATTCCATATTAGTTTAAATGTATATATACAGTGAAGCACTCTTGGTGTCAATTTACAAGGATTCTCGGCTTTGTTTCCTACAACTTTATCATCATTATCATTTAACTTAGCAAACAAAATCTAGATAATTGAGGCTAAAATATATAAAAGATAAATAAAAATATTTGACACTTCTTGTACCTTCTTCTAATATTTATTTTCACTGCTATCGTACAGTCAGCGCTTATCGCTGTGTGTCTATGTATGTGAGTTTAGACTGACTTTATGGTTTACTATAATTAAGAAACCACAAGAATGTCCAGCTTAAAGATTATACAATATAGAATAAGAACACATTGGATTTTTGCTGCAGATAGTTCCTGCGTATGTAACTATCCTGAAAGTATGTGACCATATTGGTGATAAAATCCTAAAAACACTATTTCTAGTCGCGGCTAATAACTTCTATATACCAAGCAACAGGCATCACAGTTTTAGGAGCAAGTAGAGGAGATTTGTGGCAAACTGCCATCATGATCTTCCATGGGACATAAAGATGGAAATTGTGTTAAAATTTTGAGTCCAAAATTGTTGTTTCAAATGGAATTATATAAATTATAAAATAATAAATTTGAAATGTGCTTGCAAAAAATTATAAAATCTAGTAATTACAAAAACATTTAAACTTTGTGGAGGTACAGATAGAGTAAGAAAGTTCTGTCAACAACTATGCTCTTTTCCATGAACCAATCCTAGTCTGAACAAAAACTTCCCAACTGAAGCAATCTCTTAGTTCACAGTGAGATTTGTGAACACGTATGAGAAAGTTAGAGAGTTACTCTTTTATGAGTTACAATATTTAGAACCTGCAGATAGTTAAGAATGGTAATGGGCCCCCAAAGAGAAATAACTGTTTTCTATGGCCTCCTTATTAAAATAAGGAGTTCAACTGAGATATATAATAACTGATCACACAACGCTTAAGTGCAACAGACTTCATGAAACCATAAACTGGAAATAAATACTCACTCAAATCAAGTATATCACCTACATTATAAAATCAGTCTCTAGTATTAAAAAACTCTTAACTTCAAAATCTCAAATTCCTTCTGAATCAAACTAAAAAATTGGAATGCAATCCTATTTAAAATCAAAAGCATTTAACAAATAAGAAACAATAAATATAAGATACGTATTTTTTAGAACTTTTAAATAGGCATTTACTGCACTGACCAAAAATCAGTGCTATAAAAATTAAACATTCTATGACATTATTCTTCTTTTACCCTAAAATAGAAAAAAATAAAGAGAAATATTAATTTAAATCAGATCCTTAAGTTACATGATAATTTTTAAAAAGCTACTGTTTGGAGTTGGGGAGGAATGATTTAATATACCAATGTACACCTGATACAAATATCACCATGCTTTTGGTCTTTGGATTTTCCTTTCTAAACTCCATTAATATCTCAGATGGATTCTTAAAATGTGCAAACAATATTACTGTCCATTTATCATATAATTACTCCCAGAGTCTGACTCTGTGTTCTCATCAGGTCATAGTTAAGTGGAGTTAAGTTGAATCTTGGCTCTAGGGCAACAGAGAGTTTGACCTGCATTTCCTTTTTCCCAGGTGGTTATCGCATAGGCAGCTGTTGCCTTTGACCTCTGGCCTCACAAGACAGTTACACTGCCTGTATTTTCTTATGGAAATATCTTATCCATGTTGAGCTTCAACGTCACAGTTTGTCATTTATTATTATTAATTTTATCAATTAACTTTTAACCTTTAAGTTTGTCTTATTTTCAAATTGGCCGGTTATGTTGAAGACCGGAAGAGTTCCAGTAATGACAAGTCCCAGTTCCTAAAAATAGATTCAGAGAGAAAGGGCAAATTAAAATTACAATTTAAGCTTTGTCAGAGTGCATTAGCCTTTGATATCTGAGACTGCATTTTATAGTTACTTTATAAAGAGCCACAAAAATTAGTAACTCATTTTGAATATCTATTAACTTTTATTTTTAAAATATCAATGAAAATATCTTGGAGAAAATTAGGACCTACTAGGCAGCTACTGAAGCACGAAACATTTAAAATAATACTCTAAGATAACTTTAAAAATAATCAACTTACACAACTGGTCAACAGCCTGTATGCATTTCAGTAACTCTCTGTCCTCCCCCTTTTTAATAGTGATAGTTCACCTAATATCAGGGCCTCCATAAGCAGAGTGATAATAAAATATTATTTTAAGTGATTTACTTAGCTTCCCTTTTTGTAGTCTCATTCTTAATTTTTTTACGCCCTAAGCCAAAGACTTTATGCTAAATGACAAATGTGCAGTTGAATAGCATGATAAATAAAATAAACATTCTATTGATACTGCGTATCTGGGATATTCTAAGTAAGTGTTATGCCCTTCAGAAGAAGCAATACTACTTCTAAGTAGCCCCCAAAATAAGCAGTACTTTTTGACAAGGTAAAATGATGAAGAAAAGACAACTGAAAGCATCAAATATAAAAGTCTAGTCTGAAGAGTTTAACATAATAGAAATAATGCCATCCTATTAATCGGCACATAATTTAATATATTAAATGAATTCATAGAGATTAGTTGAAATAAACTGATTTTCAAGTCAGAGTTTGCTTTTGTTACTGACATCTATATCCATTATAATTTTTAGCCACTATTTCATGTCAAAACTACCTGTTTATCAAAATCACTCTTAAAAATAATTTTTAAATTATTGTTTGAAATTTTGCATTTGCTAAAATGAGAAAATATTATTAATCTTCTCACAAATAGTGATTCCAAATCCAAAGTTCATGAACTTGGAACAGAGTTCTGGAATCAGAACCGAGTTCATAAAGTTAGATTTGGAATCATTATTCATTAGAACATTAAAAATTTCATTAATATCAGGGAGCAAATGTTGTGGTATCAGGTTGTGGTTCATAATTGGGCACATAGGAGGCCCAAATTCAATGGGAATGATGAATGAATTACGGAGGAGAGACAATAATAGAGAAGCTTCCAGCAGACCAAAATACCAAGTTACTTGCAACAAATAAAACTAAGGAAACAACCAAACATATTTGGGTGCATGATGATTGACATGGTTTGGTTGTGTTCCCACCCAAATCGCATCTTCAATTGTTGTTCCCATAATTCCCACGTGTTGTGGGAGGGATCCAGAAGTAACTGAATAACGGGACGGTTTCCCCCATTCTATTCTCATGATAGTAATTTCTCACGAGATCTGATGTTTTTATAAGTGGCTTCCTCCTTTGCTCAGCACTTATTCTGTCTCCTGCCGCCCCATGAAGAGGTGCCTTCCTCCATGATTTTAAGTTTCTGGAGGCCTCCCCAGCCACATGAAACTGTGAATCAATTAAACCTCTCTTCTTTATCAATTACTCAGTCTCGGGTATTTTTTCACAGCAGCGTGAGAACGGACTAATACAATTATATATAATATATGTATTATATATAATACATATATATGAATAGATTAATTCATAAAACTGGTATCCAAAAGGTAATTCAGTAAAGATTTGGTGAAGTGTCTCTCAGAGGTATGATCTATATGCAGAGTTTTAAAAATGCTACCGTGGTTTAAGACGAGGTAGATATGGATGTAATCATTTCCTTTGCATTTATACTGCATACCATTATTTGCTTCTAAAAATGGTAAAATGTAGCCTAAAGTGAGTTACTAGATTACTAACATATTGGATTTAAGATAATTATGAATGAACTCATTGGGACCCAACTTGAATTTTTTCTCCTCATTTATTAAGCAGACCAAAAACTTCTACTCTACTCCTGAGCACTGCATGTGTCTCTAGAAAATGAGAGAGAAATAAAACAAGATTTCTCTACCCTGGAATTTTAAAAATATTTTCTAGAGCCCCAACTCTTGTCATATCTCTTTTTATAAAGAGCTTCACTTTGTCTCCTAATTAAAATGAACCCTCCATAATATTGTCCTAATCTCCCCTTATCACCAAAAATGACCAGGGTATCATTTTTTTGATATACTCAGTGCTCCCCCAACTTTTATGCTATCCTCCATTTCTATGGTTTCACTTTTCACCACCAACAGCAAAAATCTTACAGTAATATGACCAGCTAAAATGTCTCCATTTTCTTAACCACAATCCACTTTGCCCCAATATTGGCTTCTTTATTTTGAAGTCAGAATTCTTTTTCTCGTTATATCCATTATATTTGGTTTTAAAATATATTTACCTTTTCCTTTTTAATACAACTGTTTATTTTTGACCAACATGTATTTTTAATCTGCTGTGTGGAGAGATTATAAACAAATAACTAGGAATATATGGGGATCACTTTATCATTTTCAAACCAGTAAAAAGAACGCTGTATGTGTCCAATGAATAGCAAACTCACGTGTTTCTTTTCTTTTTTTTTTTTTTTTTACATTTAGTTTCAGCTTATAGCACAGCACATTTAGAACCAACATTTCCTCCTAATGTCATTTGTGCTATCAGTAAGAACCTTACCAGCAATGCAGACATGCTGGCTAATGAACTTCCAGTCAAAGGAAACACAACAGGGCATCATTATTGACTCCTCCTATCACACACTGTCCTGTGATGGATTTGAAAAGTGCAACATTTTGACCACAGCTTTGGATCACTGTGTGACCTTAAGTAAATATGTGATGTCTAAAAGGAACACTGGACAGTAATTTCAAGCTAGGGCTTGAGGTAAGCAAGCTTCATGCTTCATTTTATCTTTCTTAGCGTGCAAGGCTGATGTTAATAGTGCCTATTTTTCTTCTAACTTCCTGTATATGTTTATTTTCTAAAAACCAAATGATAAGTAATTCTAAATGGACTGCATTTTGCCCTGTGGGTTCATCATTACATTTGGAAAAGTAGTAACAACTGATCTCCAAGTAGGGAAAAGGGTTACTGAATCAGCATTTATTTTTCAGTTCTTATTATTTTGATTCTCTCCAAATACATTATTTTAGTAAATCATTAATAAGTTCTTCTCGTTAAGACTAAACATAAGAATAAAGCTTAAGTGCGATGATTATTATTTATAATTTTCATGTCAGGAAGTAAAAATTACATTTAAACAATTTTCAACTTCGGCCCTATTGACATTTTTGGAGGGATAATTCTTTGTTCTGTGTGGTGGGCAGTTTTCCTCTGCATTAAAGGATGTTTAACAGCATGCCTGGCCTCTATCCACTCAGGGGTGTCCAATCTTTTGGCTTCTCTAGGCCACACTGAGAGAAGATGAATTGTCTTGGGCCACACCTAAAATACACTAATACTAACAATAGTTGATGAGATTTTAAAAAGAGCAAAAAAAAAAAAAAAAAATTCATAATGTTTTCAGAAAGTGTAAAAGTTTGTGTTGGGCTGCATTCCAAGCCATCCTGGACCACACGTTGGACAAGCTTGCTCTAGATGCCAGTAGCAACCCCTCCCCTCAAGCCATGACAATCAAAAATGTCTACAGAGTTTTTTCCAAATGAACTGTAAGGGGCAAAAAGACCCCCCTGTTGAGAACCACTGCTTTTAAATATAATGACATATCTTTACTGAAATGTCAGTTGTTCAATGGACAATTTAACATGTGTTGGTTTCACACAGATGTGATCATCTCAATGACGTATTTCCATAAAAAGTCTGAAGTTGAATCTGGCACAAAAGATTATACTAATATATTAAGATGTTTGTGATGATTTCAGTATAGGGTAAAGGTTTTGCCTATCTAACAGCATGTATTCCCGAGTTTTAGCAGATTCAGCTATAGTTGTGGAGGCTAGACATGCTTCTATGCTTCTACTAGCTCCTATACTTTAAAAATACTTTCTTCTAAATTATTGTTCAAAATCTGCAAAAATAGATTCTAGTTCATGAAGACGTTCATCTTTTTTTTTACATTAACAATTTAAAAACTTACTGAAATGCCCATGTGTTCAACATTCCAGGTTGGAAATTCTACATTCTCAATGAAGGGATCAAGTAGACAATAAGCTAACACTTCGTATTTGTAGTTCTCTACTACATACAAGTCTATGTTTTTATGTAAATTATGTAAATTCTAGGAAACAGGTCTGTGATATAAGAAATTTGGGGGAGGGTTTAATGAAAAAGAAAACAGAGACATCATCTAGAAAGAAGTAGAAATCATCTGTGTGCTTTTGTTATGAAAGTCTTTGACTGAACAGCTCAACCTCTTACCAATGCATCCAGGTACACATTTGTCCACTGGACTTGCTTAGCTTTGTCTCCTGCTAAAACCATTGGTCTTCCCAAAACATCCAAATATTCCTGTTTGTGAAAAAAAGAAAAAGTTGTGGTTAAAATTAGGAATGCTGTGTTGTAATAAAAATTACAGAGAAAAAAACTCCTAGAGTTAAAAATGAATATAGAATCAAAATTATTGAGACTGAATATATAATCAGTTAATTTCTATTTTGGGTACTCCCTAAGTGGTATGGCTACGTATTTCGAATCAACAATATTTGACTTATATTATTTATACAATATATCTACCCAAGTTTTTTTCCAGTAACAATCAGAACATTGTTTTCTGTGTTACGGCCAATAAGTGAAATACATCCTTGTGAATTGTTTCATGTTAATCTAAACTATTTAAGGCTCTGTGATTTACTGCGTGGAATTGCACAAATTTAAAATCATAAAGCAGCCACATACTTTCTTTCATATCACAGATTGTTTGGCTGAAATTCAAAACTACATTTAAACACATCAAAAAATAAAGGAAATACTGTGCCAAATCTAGACATCAGACTCAAATGCAGCTGCTGTTTCATTTCAACATTCAATGTATTCAGTATTCACTTCCACAAATGCCATGTTATTTATGCTAAATTTTGACTTTGTTTATTTTGTAGATCTTCAACTGTGTTTAAAAAGGAGTAGCAATTTTCATAGTAATTTATGATTATTTAAAAATAATAAATATTTAACTTAATTTCTACATTCTACAAAAAGTTATTTAACAGGCGTGATTTCAACTGAATGATGTTAGAAAAATCATCTCCTTGTTGTAACTTTATTTTAGATAGATAAATAGATCCACAGGGGTTATTTGGGAGGTATTTAAGTTCCAACTAGGTCCCTGTACAATTTGTCCAGCATAATTAGTGTTTAATTTTATACATGGTACCTACAATTTGAAGAAACTTTAAAAAATCATTTGCAGAATCAAGTTCAAATTACATGAAATGTATTTTTAGAAAATTTGATTTTCTGTATTTTCTATGATATTTTTAACATCTGAGAGTAACAATATACTCATTGTATTTACCTGAGTTTTGGATGTTTGAAAACACTTGCAATGTTAATGAAATAAAACCAATATATCACCAAGATACTCAGCATTTTAATATAAGTGTAACATCATAGATCTTTTCATTCTTACTAATTTTCTCCATGTTGAGCATATTTAACCAGAAAAGAAGTATCTTATACTTGAAAAAAAATTTAAACAAGCTTTAAATAATCATACCTGAGTATTGATTCTTATTGCACCAATGGAAGGAATTTCATAATAATAACCTGAAATATACATATATATTTATATATAAATGTTACTTTATAATAAAGGGCCACAAAATTATTTTATTTTATAAATATTCATAAAGAGTATTTTGAAAATAATATATTTCACTTCAAAATTGAACTAATACTAAAATATCAAAATTAAGAAAATGGTTAATGAATCTTCACAACAAACACACAGGCTTTGTGAAAAATTTCACTACATTTCTTAGTTACTATAAAATAGGTATTATTCTTCTACGAAGGAATAAGAAACATGGAATCATTAAAAATATTTTTTCATTGGATAAATTATTAAAGATACATGATGGATAATTATTATATTTATAAAATCTTTGCCTAAATATAACTTTCAGAAAAAATTTAGGTTCTTTTTGTTGCCATGGCATCACAGTTCATTTTTCAAATTAATATATTTTTTCTCAGTAACATCATTCTTTCCGAGTGAAAATATGAGCTCACTGCACAACATTTGAATTATCCTGGAACGTATAAGATTTTTCAAAAACAGTAATTAAACCACCAAGAGAAAAAAATATATATGTCATACTCTCATATTTAAGCTTTATGAAATTCAGATATTGTTTCATTCCTAATTTTTCATGTAAGATTATATCTGATATATATCATTCAGTATAATTCAGTGTAATACATTATTTTATAAATGTGGAAATATAATCAATGTCTGAATTTTCATATAATGTAATGCTAATGTCAAAATTTGTATGTGTTTTCTCTATAGAAACATGTTCATAATCTTACTCTTGCCTGATTCTTATAGAAGTTAGCTACAGCTTTAGCTTATTTTAAATAAGCACACCTAATAACAGCTACCAAAATATTTTTTTTTCTAGTTTACTAGAAGAAAACAGATTTGTTACCTTTGTTTTCACAGGCCATCCACTGAATAGGTCCTCTATCATAATTGTGTTGACCAACTGAAAACGTGAATACACGTACCTGGATGAATTGAAAAATAGGTATTCATTAGGCTTAATAAAATTTAATTGAATGGCAAAATAAAACAGCTAAAATTTCTATTAAAAAGAGTGTTTTCTGGTTGAATGATACGACAAGAAAAACTGATGTCAGTAAAGACTTCAGAAAGGGACCAGAGGAAAAATCACATAACCTACTGTAAACATAGACTCCAGTTGCTACATTTAAATTTGTACCTAAGTGTCCTCTTGCATATTCCATTCCTCAGGCAGGAGCATGACTAATGTTTCATTCATAGAAAGTACATCTTTCATGGCCAGGCACGGTGACTCACGCTTGTAATCCCAGCACTTTGGGAGGCCGAGACAGGTGGATCACCTGAAGTCAGGAGTTCGAGACCATCCTGGCTAACATGGGGAAACCTCGTTTGTACTAAAAATACAAAAAATTAGCTGGACCTTGTAATACATGCCTGTAATCCCAACTACTTGGGAGGCTGAGGCAGGAGAATCGCCTGAGCCTGGGAGGTGGAGGTTACAGTGAGCCAAGATTGTGCCATTGCACTCCAGCTTGGACAACGAGAGTGAAACTCGGTTTCAAAAAAAGAAAGAAAGAAGGAAAAAAGGAAAGAAGGAAAGAAAGAAGAAAATAAGGAAGGAAGGAAGGGAGGGAGGAAGGAAGGGAGGGAGGAAGGAAGGGAAGAAAGAAAAGAAAAGAAAAGGAAAAGAAAAGAAAAGGAAAAGAAAAGAAAAGAAAAGAAAAGAAAAGAAAAGAAAAGAAAAGAAAAGAAAAGAAAAGAAAAGAAAAGAAAAGAAAATACATCTTTGAGGTCCAACCTCACTTCACCTGTCTTACATGGTTATACATGTTATCTACATAGCGAGCTACTGCAAAAAAGTTTATTTCCCTATTTCATAGGTATGTAGTAATGAAAAACTATTCAGAAAGGTCATTGTACTTCAAAGTTGCTTAAGGCAATTAAACTCTGTGATGGTTTTCACCATGGAAATAATTAGGATGCACACATATGATTATGTTGTTAGTATATTATTTTCTATAAAAGTTGGCTGACACATGTAAGTAAGCTCCTAGGATTTTTAAATATAACCAAAATATTGACTGTTCCTAACATGCTATAAAGTATGAAAATATTTTAAAATCAACGGAGAGTTTTTATAATTTAAGTATTTATTGAAAGCCACTAAATTTAAATAATAGTGTGAAAGTATAAAAGGTAAATTCCATGAGGTCAACCTATACTTAATAAAATGATTTTTTCATATATTGATTTTTACTAATTTAGTAATCTAAGTAAACCAACACTCTCAACCCAACATTTTAGCTATTTCTAAATATAGATGTGCAGAAAATCACTTTTCCATGAGTTCAAATTCCAGTTTGAACTATGTTAAGAGCTTTTCCCTAATTCATGTTGATTGACTATTTGAATGGACATTTTCTAATTGTTTTATGTCTTTTAACTGTTGCACATGATTTCAGAGCACAAATCTCAAAAGAGATTTCACATCTGTTCTCTGTTCTTTCACTGGTCTTGGCCACACAGATCACATTATTACAATCCCTGTGCCCAAAATGTACATCAGGGATGTTGCTATTTCATTTGTAAGGTTTTAGGCGAGCCACTCTTACATCATCTAGGTTGGCCTTAGCTGGTTATGTAAGAGGCCACATGATGAACATAATCCGGTTTTAAATACTTCAAATTGTAAGAATAAATGACTGTTTCTAAGTGAATGATAGGAGTTGTTTTTTTTCTTTCTCTCAATCTATCTTTCTCTCCAGGAATTCCCAATCAAAATGCAATGGTTTCATTTTCTTTAATTCATCAGTTAGGTCATTTTGGGGTCTGTCTATAAATTTCAACGTAGGGTTACTGCTTACATAGTTGAGCTTACTTCTAAATGGAAATATTTTTATAAGCAGGTTGACCACCCTAACTGATAATTCAATTTAAATGCCATACCCTAAACAATCATCAAATTAATTTAAGTCAGCGAAAAAGTCCAGATGCTCCAGAAAGCACTGGGGGTTCTCCCTCACAACTAACATTTGAACCCATACCTCTAATTTTCAGCTGAAGCATGGCTTTGTCTAGAAGTTCCTGTTACCACAACAATCATCTAGTAAAACATTTTTCATAAAATACTTTCAGTAAAAAAATAAACAAGACTATATGAATCTTATATCTATGTCTCAGAAAGGCAAGCATTTCTAATAACATCGAGGGTACACTCAGATCCACACATATGATTATTTGACTGATGTTATCATTCAAATAGTCCAAATAAACACTAGGCCAAAAAAAAAAAAAAAAAAAAAAGCTTGTTGCTTTATTTATTTTGCTATAAAAGTTTCACTTAACTTCTATGTGTTTGCTTACATGGACCCCTCAGAAGTTTTCAAAATTAAGGTATTTGGGATCAGGGCTGGGGGTAGTGCACATTCTGTCAGTTTTAATTATAATTTTTGAAACATGCCAAACTCTTTTTGTTCTTTTTCTCACATAGGTTCTTGGCTACTTAAATGTAAGATGCATTAACTAACTGAATCATTCCCATATCATCAATGTATAATTTGTACCCCTTTTCTCAATTTTCATTTGCCTTGTAGAGATTTTTAAAGACATTATTTTCCTGAAATTTTATTCCAAGTGTTTAGTAAAATCCTAATTGCAAATGCAGCCTTCTTTATAATTTATACAACTGCCTTACCATTACAATATTTACACAATCTAATATACCCAAGATCATTTTATCTTGGGTTTATGTATATATATGTATATACATACACACACATACAAACACATACGCACACTGGTATTTAATGATTTTATTGATTATATAGATTATCTTAGAGCTTTCTATAATGATCTTATAAATATATATTCAGTTGAGAAAAAAGTTTAATATGTCATTCAAAACTTAGGATCTACTGTAGTACCTTACACACATTCTTCATATGACAGTAAAAAATTAAAATAAAAAAAATTCATTCCTTAGTGCCATACTTGTCTTTTCTTTGTACATTTAAGCTAATTCCATAAGAATTTTAACTTCATTGATTTCATAAACATTCACATTACATATTGTATAGTGCGTATACATAATGTATTGGTTAAGTTTAAAATAATTTTTGTGTACACAAATTTCTACTTGGAATTGTAAATGGTTTCATTTCTCCTATTCCATACTATACTACTGCCACCATGTGGAATAGTCAATGAACTAAATTCCAGATGCTAAAGTCCATAGAGGTGATTGATAACCCGCTTCTTCTATTTTTTTTTTTTTTTTTTTTTTACTTCTTTAAACTTACAGTTCTTGTTTAGCCATAATTTTGGAGTTATAGAAAAATAAAGTGATTTCTTCAAATACATACAATTAAAAATTTAAGGTAAATTACATTCTCAAAGATGTGTATTTGTACAGTTCTTTTAAGTACATTTGCATGATCTTACATAAAAACAAAATGACATATAAAAATAACTCAAAATGCTTAACTGGCAGTCACACAAGCTAAATATTTCATCTTAATTCTCACTTAAGCAAATCACTTACATGAGAGCATATCTACATCTAGGCTAAGGCGACTTTTGTGGAGAAAAAATTCCTTTACTCGTGCCTAGTAGTATATTTATAATCACAACACTAGGTTCATATAACAAATGCACATGAAATTTTTCTGTTCTGAGTAAAATGTTCCTAGAAAATTAACTAAATGTTTCTCAACACGTATGATTTTACATAGGTTCATCTTTCAAAATGTTCACTTCTATGAAATTTTCATCATAGAGCCACATGAGACATATACAATAACAGATGGCTTTGACAAATATTTTCCTAATGCTGGAGTACAGGTCTTCAACAGAAATACAGTGGGAAGCTAGTATTGAATAGACGTTGGATTGGGTTTTAAAAGTGCCAAGATTATACAATTTAGCATCTACTGTAGTACATTACTCATCAATGAAAACAAACATTTGTTAAATGAAGAACAAGTGAATAGACACTTGAGTGGTTTCTACTTCTTACCAGAGGGATCTAAGACAGATTTTGGTGTTATCCAACATATCAATAAGTTCATTACAGTATGTGGTAAGAGTAGGACAAAAACTGGGCTATTAGTTGTCTTGCATTTTGCAATTTGGGCTGTTTCACTATACTTATATCATCATACATTCTTAATCTTTTTATTTAATATGAAATAAGCAGATATCCTTACTGGAGGTAAACAACTTTTTTAGGCAAAATAAAGTGTACTTAGTACACTTATTTATGTACTATGTTATTCCTAGAAAACAAAAAAAAATTCTTATAATTCTGGATTCATGCATAGTTATATAATTGTAAAAGCAGTAATTTGGGGAGCAGACAATAAAATTAAACTTAAGGCCAGGTGTGGTGGCTCATGCTTGTAATCCCAGCACTTTGAGAGGCTGAGATGGGTGGATCACTTGAGCTCAGGAGTTCGAGACCAGCCTGGGCAACGCAGTGAGACCCCATCTCTACTAAAAATACAAAAATTAGCTGAGCATGGTGGATTACACCTGTAATCCTAGCTACCCTAGGGTGCTGAGGCAGGAGAATCACTTTAACTCAGGAGGTGGAGGTTGCCGTGAGCCTAGATCACACCACCGCACTCCAGTCTGGGCAACACAGTGAGTGAGATTCTGTCTCGGTTGCAGGTGGTGGGGGGGTGGGTGGAAATAAACTTAAAAATTAAATTCCTGGCCAGGTACAGTAGCTCATGTCTGTAATCCCAGCACTTTGGGAGGCTGCAGCAGGGAGATCACGAGGTCAGGAGATCAAGACCATCCTGGCCAACATGGTGAAACCCTGTCTGTACTAAAAATACAAAAATTAGCTGGGCATGGTGGCGCACACCTGTAATCCCAGCTACTTGGGAAGTTGAGGCAGGAGAGTTGCTGGAACCCGGGAGGCGGAGATTGCAGTGAGCTGAGGTCACACCACTGCACTTCAGCCTGGCCACGGAGCGAGACT